AATCAAAATAATTGTGTTGCTTCATGTTCATTTAATTTAAGTCATACATGGTTACCTATGCTAAAATCTGAAGTAGACCAGAGAAACATACACCCAAGTTAAATTTACACCAAAATTATTCATTAACATTATCTATATTAATTTAAACAATGAGATTAAGCCAAAGTCACATAACTGACAATTTGCATAGACGAATTATCAGAGCGAATTTTCAAATTCTGTATTATCCTACTATTGTTACACAATTTATTAACACACTCTTTTTTAGGTTCATTTAGGTTCTTTTTATAACAATAGCAGAAAATAGCTATCGAAACGTCAAGGTAATTTTTCAAATTAATTTCTTTACTAATTGGAATTTTCTCTTACAGCTTGAGCCTAAGTGTGTCGCAGGATACCCTCTAGGTGATAGTTCTTGATTACTTTTTGATAAATAATTCGTTCTTATTGCGAAATAGGAGAACTATTTATCAATCTGTAATAAAAGACGTGAGCAAATTCTGTCTTTTTTAAAGGCAAAAAATTTTGAGGCGAAATACCCAAAAAGAAGTTTGTAAAAAAAGTGGAAATCTAATCCGGAAAACTTCCACGACAAAAAGATAGTAAAATACTAATTTTTTTCCAGAAGACCTGCTAAATGTGCCCACTCTAGTGGTTCTGGGGTGGATCTTGCTTCCCCAGTACTTTTTCTACGCATCCGGGCATCAGCCGGCGTTTTCTAACATTGCCTGGGAGTCGGCGTTTGTGGGAACTTCCGGCCTGGTTTCCGCCAACAACTATATTCTGGGCGCCCTCGTCCTGCTGAACACCTTTGGAACGTACATGCTGGCAGGAGTCCTGCTGCCGCTTCTGATAATTGTGCCCTTCACGTTGTGTGTGATGATGCCTTCAGCGTGCTCCAAGAACAAAGTGTTGCACCCGAGTGCCCAAAAGGGCGAGCTGTTCCTGTTCGAACAGGACCGGATTAGTACTGCGGCCTTATTCTCTCTTTGCTGCAAGTATATGGTAGGGCATACCGTTAAGGTGAGTGAAGAATTGTTCTTTTTTCGGTTCGAGCATTTGGAATTTCATGTCTGCAGGTGTTTGCCAGTATGCTGGCAGCCACCATCCACTGCCGCCACCTGATGGTATGGTCCATTTTTGCGCCGAAGTTCATTTTTGAAGCCATCGCCTTGTTCATCACATTGGGCTCAGTATTAGTGGGATATCTAGTATTTATTCGTATCAATTTTCAGATCGAGCGGCTAGTGACCAAACTAAACAAAACTCACTAGTTGTTTGAAAGTATTTGTATTTGTACTGCCAAAGACTGTGGAGCCTCCAGTGACAAATTGTTTACGTATATGTTTACGTTATATGTATAGAGTTTAATTCAATGAGTATGAAAAGTCCCTCAAGTTCTTATGGTTCTGATCAATACAAGACACTTTCGGTCTCTCGTATTCGTAAGAAAGATTTCTACAAGTTTCATTTGAAAAAACTAAAGTTCTCAAGCAAAGCGACTTTCAGGAGTCTCTTGCGACCAAAATGGAGCCGGTGGAAACCGCTAGGTTTCCAGGATATTTTTTGAAATGCTGAAAATTTCAGGCAAAACGGGCGACAGCAGATTTTTCCAACAACTAAATTAGAGAAAAAGTGAATTTAGAAGCCAAGTGTCTTTGAATCAGACTAAACGTATCAAATACACTGATTTTGAAAAACTCCTCACTTCTAAAACATAGCAGGTAAATTCTCATGTTCGGGTCCATTGATTGAAAACGGTTGACCGACAAAATGCTGAAAAATTCAGGAGAAATGGGAAGCAGGAATATTTTTCACGAATAAATTAAGTTGCATTTGAAACGAACTAGTTCATATGCAAACTGGCTTTCAAAAATCTCTTACGTCCAAACTGGAACCTGTAGAAAATCGCTCTTTGCCTGCTGATAGAATACTTGAGGGTTGAAATAAGTACTGAGAATTTCGAGCAAAACTGATGGCACCAGAATTTTCAAGAAGTTAACCAAAGCGCCTTTGAAACGGACTAAATTCAACAAACTCTTCACGTTCAGAACAGGGCACATAAATACTTGTGTTTGTATCGGCTTATTTAAAATATAGTAGGAAAGTTTTACCCAACATGGCGAATTTCATTTCAAAAAAGCAAAAATTCTTGAACAGACCGGCTATCAATAATTTTTTACGTCCAAACTGGAGCCGTTAGAAACTCGCCTCTTTGTCCGCCTATAGAAGAAACTTAAAGGTGAAAATGGTGAAAAATTGAAGCAAACTGCAGCAGAACTTTGCAGAAGTTCACTAAAGTGCCTTTGCATCGATTTAAACCTATCAAACACACTTATTTTTAGAAACTCATCACGTCCAGAACAGAACAGAGCAGATAAACACTCGTCTATGAGTCAATTTAATTTACTTTAAACACTTTTTCATCAGAATTTTCCATCGCTTCAAATGAAACTTCTCTAATTTGTAGAAAATCTTCCTAAGATATTTTTTATTGGTTTTTTCAGCAGATTATCAGTCTAAATTTTCAAGTACGCGGCCTCAAAGATGAGAGTTTATCTGCTCTGTTCTGGACGTGAGGAGTTTTAAAAAAATAAGTGTGTAAGACTGTTGTTAACTTCTGAAAAATTCTGCTGCCGCCCGTTTGGCTTTAATTTTTCAGCATTTCAGCCCTCTGTAAACGGACACAGAAGCGATATTCTATAGATTCCAGTTTGGATGTAAGGAATTCTTGAAAATATGTCTGTTTGAAAATTTTCGTTGGTTTCAAATATCAACCTTCTTCTTCGATTTGTATTAAATCTTCCTAAGGTATTTTTTCTTGAAATTTTTTAGAAGAAGAACAAAAGACCTTAGGAGGATTTTTCCAAATCAGTGAAGTTTTATTTGAAACCAACGATAATTCATAAACAGACAAGCTTTCAAGAATTCCTTACGTCCAAACTGGAATTTGCAAACAAATTCGTCTTCGAAACGAACTAAATTTATGAAACACGCTCATTTTTCAAAATACTCGGGTTTGAATCAGCCTATTTAAAACATGCGGAAAAATTGAAGAAATTTTTTTTTCCACAAATTGGCGAATTTCATTTGCAACGAACGAAAATTGTCAACGAGACCGAATTTTAAGAATGTTTTAGTTGCAAATTTGAGCCTTTAGAAACTCCTCTCTTTGTCCGTTTATAGCAAATACTTGAGCGGTGAAACGCTGAAAATATTAAGCAAATCGGGACCAGCATAATTTTCCAGAAGGTAACAAAAGCGCCTTTGAAGCCGACTAAATTAATCAAATACGCTGATTTTTTTTAAATTCAACGCGAAAAGAACAAATCACGTAAATACTAGTGTTTAGATCCTTATCATCAAAAACATGCGAAAAACTTTAAGAAAAATGGACCGTAGGAAGATTTTACACAAATTGGCGAATTTCTTTTAAAACGAGCGAAAATTCTCAAACAGACCGGTTTTCAAGAATTCTTCTAGACCTCGCACACACTCATCTTTGGATCCGTTTACGTAAAACTGTTGACTGATAATATGCTGAAAAATACCTTAACAGAACTTTCAACAAATTAGAAGTTTCAGTTGAAACTAACAAAAAATCTCAGACAGACTTTCAAAAAGTTTTACCTCCAAAACCTGTAACCGCTAGAAAATTGACTCTTTGTTCGCATAGAGAAGACACTTGAAGGTTTAATGCTGAAATTTTCAAGCAAAATGATCAGCAGCAGAAATGTCCAAAAGTTGACAAAAGTGCATTCGAAACGAACTGAAGCTCACAAGGCGCTGATGTTTAAAAATATCCCATTTCCGAAAGCAAGAAGATAGAAACTTGTGTTTGGGTCAAAATTTCAAACACTTTAAACAGTTAAAAAAACGGACCGCAGGAAGATTTTCCACAAATTAGCCGAGTTTCATTTGAAACAAACCAAAATTTTCTAGCAGACTGGCTTTCAAAAACCCCTTACTTTCAAACTGGAACTCGAAGAAAATTGTTTCTGTATCCACGTGTAGAAGACAATTGAAGGTGGAAGTGCTGAAGATTTATATGTAAAACCGACCGCAAGGTTTTGCAAAAAATTTGTGATATTTTATTATTATTTATTATAATTTGAAGCCAACTGATGATCTCAAGCAGAGTGGGTTTGGACATATTTTGACGCCTAATCTAGAACAGGTAGAAGTTCGCCCCTTTATGTGATTTGTATAAGAGGCTTTAGTGTTGAAATGTTGGAAAATTCAACTAAACCAGATCAATGGACGAATTTTTAGCAATAAAAATGAAAATTTTGAAAAAAACTTCTCAAGGAGACAGAGTTTCAAAAATTCCTCAAGCCCAATCTAGAGCAGGCATCCACTTGTCTCTTTGTCCATTAATTTAAGACACTTGAGAGCTGAAAATTGCAAGCAAAATCGATGGCAGGAAGATTTCAAATAAATCATCAAAAGTTCGGTTGCAACAAGCCAAAACTCTGAAGCACACTGATTTTCAAAAAAAAATCAAAAGCCTAAAGTAAATCAGGTAGAAGCTTGTCTCGTCTTAGTGTCCGTTGATAGAAGAAGCTTGACCAATAAAACGCTGAAAAACTTCAATAAAACAGCTAGAGGAAGATAGTTCAGTAACCTAAAGAAGTTTCAATCAAAACGAACTCAATCCCTCAAGCACAAGTGGCATTCAACAGTTCTTCGTGTCGAAGTTACAGCAAGTTGAATTTGATCATTTCTAGAAATTCAAATAGAGAAAGATTTCTAATAAGTAAATCCAGAGAATGAGTTTTAATCAATTTTTTTATCTCAAATAATGAATTGAAGTCAAATTTGTTGGAATTTTTAGAAAAATTAAAATTTCGCAATACAGAAATACCGTTCACAGTGTCAATTTTGACAAAATTTAAAACATCACATTGAAAAAATAAATTGTTGGCTGAGATGTCGATAAGTGCGAAAGAGAGGCACTTGAGTGCAACGAGAAAAAAGTCCCGGCGTTATACGCACGATGTCCTCAGAGCCACAATTGAGGTACGTTCTCAAGCACTCAACTACAAGCTTCACGCGTTGAAATGCGAATTTTTGAGTTTTGTAGAGTGAAACTGACGACTGCAAACGGCTTCCCTATCTGTTGCACAAACAGTGCGAAGAACGAAATGCTCCAGCGTATCCAGAGGTGCATGCCTATATGATTAAGGAGGACGGGCAAGTTGTCTTGGTCGACAATGCTCCAACTATCAGAAAATCAATTGTACGCCCCCCAGAAGTTCAATTTTGCAGGTTCTTGCACCCAAAAACCATTTGCAGATACCGCTTGATTCCAACCTAGTCATATATGCGTACAGCAACTTGAACCTGAAATTACGAGCTTTGGATTTTAGATGCTTCCGCATTATGGACCCAAGGCTGTTCTTTGCCATCATCCAAACAATGCCGCACTTTCCAGACTTATTTTCCTTGCAGTAAGAACCTGGCACTTCATGTTCATAGCGCAACTACAGGAATTTTAGACTAGACTACTGCAATCTGACCAGTGAGCATATTCTGATCCTGAAACAACATCTGAGCCGCCAGAAAACACTCAGCGAATTGAACCTAACAGGAAATCCCCATGGGCATCGTAGTTTTCATCGTTTACTGCGCTGCGGCCTGAAAGTATTAATTCTGAAATTTTGCAACATTGCTGAAAAAGGTAACAAAACGGTTGGAAGCAGGAGGAATTTCTGAGGGAGAGATTGCAGGCCTTCGAAAGATGGCTAGCGAGTACTTAAACCACCCCTATGAGCCGCCAGGGTTGCTTCATTTGGATTTATCTCATAATCCAGTATTTGATGAGGGCTGCAAATACATTGCAAGCATTTTAAAATGCGACAGGTAATTCGTATTTTACATTATTGAAGCCAGATTTTCTTGCGTGCTTTGCGCTGCTCTATCTAAATTCTCTAACTATCGTTATAAGCAAAAATCCCCGAAAACTGAGTGAAAAAATGCAATAAATTGGCCAGTAACGACCATAATGATTCAATTTTGTTTTAAATTATAGATTTTATTTGTGTTTTAAGCTGCTGAGGAAACTTGAGGAGCTTTGAGGCACGCGATTTTTTATAGCCTATAGAAAATGTATGAATGAATGAAAATGTGTAAAGTGAAATATGTGGACAAGCTTTTTACGCAATCCACTGTGGACATTCTTCCTGAATTTGTTAATGTTGCCAGCTGATATTCAGGTGCCCCCATCCTCAGAATTTCATTGACGTGACTTTCTGCCCGCAATTAAAAAATTGGTTTTTCAAAAATGGACTCATTCAATTTTTCGAATGCCAGTTTCATTCAAACTGATTGGAAAACTGTTCAAAGATCAACGGTTTTATCTTGCAAAAGTTTAAAAAATTACATGTTCATTTGCCACAAACTGTAAACATCGACAGTAGTTTAAAAAATCAGTTACTGAACATTTAGAACTCGTTACATAGAAAAACAGAAAAATCCTGCTTGATTCATGGAAACTAAGCGTTTTTCTTGGGTGTTTTTTCAACTTTTTTGTTGGGTGTTTTGTATCAAAATTTGTATCTTTTCAAAGGGCAGAATTTGTCACGTCTTCTATTAAAGATTGATCAAGAACGAATTCATTATCAAAAAGACGAAGAAGAGAAAAGGGAAAAAAGACAAAAAAACTGGATAATTATTGAAATTTAGAACGTCTTTTATACGTTGTTGTTCCCCATGTCCATATTTTTTGTTTTGCTATAAAGTTTTAGTTCTTCTTTAAGATTGGCATAATTTTTGTTTGTCCAAAAAAATACTGTTGAGTGTTGGCAATTTTGAGCGTAGGAATCAATACAAGCCTATTTTGGCCAAACAAACGTTGTCTTTTCAGAACTTTGAGATCCTTGAACTTAACCGACTGCAAAATCCGGGACTCTGGTCTCGAACTAATTGCTCTCAGTTTCCGTACATTTGCCCTGAGCGACGACGAAATCTGCGTCCGCAGGAAAATTAGGCTGGACTATTTTCGACTCTTGCAGGTGCTCCATGATTCAACAGAATGAACCTTTGGTATTTTTCAACAATCGTTTCCAGGAAACCCCGTTTTCTGATGAGCCAAATGCGACCAAACCTGAAGCCACATTAGCCAATCCAAAAGGTTCTAGTCGCGGTAGGAATCCAAGCGCGACTTTAACCCAACAAATTCCATTGCAGATTCGTTTAGTTTAGTGGAAACAACAGTGAAAATCCACCCATTCGTCAATGAAACTGTCCAGGAAAATGGAGAAATCCTGGTCAAAGGGAACTGCACTCTGGAGCATTTGAATATCTCATGTACTGCAGTTTTCCAACCGGTTAACCCCAGCTGAATCATACCGACTGGCAGTATTCCAGATAATCAACTGTCCAAATCCAGTCTGGATCTGTTGCTGAAAACCGTGATGGAACAAGCGGGAACCTTGGAGGCGCTCCAGCAGCTGGTTCTTGAGGGAAATTGCCGGAACGATCCCGAATGCGACAGCTTGAAAATCACTATCCAGGAATGGTTGGCAGGGAGAAAAACACGCAGCAGATCGCTGCCTGGAAGTGTGAAGAGCAAATCGAGCCTCAAGCGCCGAAGGTCCAGTGGCGCCACCTCAACTACTAGCGGCTTGAGCAGTAGGGACAAACACAGCTCAATTCATGCATGAGGTTGGTTGAAAACATTGCGTCCGTTTCGTGAAAAGAGTTTATTAAATGGAGTTAAATAAGTACGGTTCATTCTTATGATTAAAAATAGGTATTAATACTGTTACTAGCAAGAGCAAGTATGGTTTACACAGGGTTTTAATGTATGAAGAAGAGTCTTCCTGCGTGAAAATACGAAATTTGGTTGCTATCAGCTTGTGGCTGGACATGCTTCGTTTGGCAAAAACTAAAAAACACTATTGAGAATTTACAATTCTGTCCGAACTAAAGCGGTTTTAAAGCGCAGTCAAGTTTGGACGATATTTGTAGCATGGCAAAAGCACGAAGTGTTTAACTGTTCATTTCAGTTCCAATCAATGTGTAAACTCCACAAGAATGCACTTGCACAGCAGGGAAAAAAGAACGAAAACAGTTCTGGACACAAGCTGGTAAACGTGTCTCAATTTGATGCAAGAAAACCCCAATTCTTCGGTTAAAATAGTAAAGAAACCACCCGTATATTCCTGCAACCATAATTGGAAAAACACACGTGTACAATTCGGTGAAAATTAAATTTAAATTTAAAAAAAATTACACAAATATTGGAGATAAGCGATCACACACTATCCAAACGCAGTCTTAATACTGACACTTAGATTTACCCCATAAACACAACCTTAGTATAATAAATGCACGAATTAACGCAACTAACAAATAAATAGTTAATAAATAACGACAATATTAAGAAAATATAGAGAATATTTTTAAACAAATAAAAAATCTATTATAAACAGTCATTAATCGGAAACTAAGTAGGTTTTAAAGTTTATCACGTATGGACTACAACATCATTACAACGTATATAAATAAAAAAATGTGTGTAACAAAATATATTGTACATTAAGTTAAGGTTCCTAAAGGAACCTTGCTATTAGTTAATCTCTTAGTGTGGACTTAGTGCTCAGAACATAACAGGCCCGACTTTCACCCATTAAATTGTGGTTTAACACCTCAGAGCCGAAGATCGATCGTACTTGTTAGTGACGAAGTGAATAATCATATACTGCTTGCTATACACTAACTGCTCATTTTAAACTATTTTACATCTTTTTACATAAAGTAAAGATTCGAAATATTCGAATAATCAGACCAGATTCATTGCTTGACTAAGGCCTACCTTCATTTTCTCTTAGTCATTTGTATGGGGCTTTCAGGGGGCGACTCGAAATGCTCCTGTTTTTGGGACTTTTTAGCATTTTTCAAGTTTGAGCCCAATTTCTTAAGAGCCCTGGGCGATATGCTCGACTCTACAACGGTTTGGGTATCGGTGTGGTTCAACAGCGTGCTGTTTCTGGACGGTTCGTTAGCAGACACTAGAAATTGTTTGAAATGATCAATTAAGCATCAGATATTTAAAATTTACACTTAAAACATTAAGAAAAATATTCTCTCTATATCTAGCTCTATCCAGTGGACGCAATTTGTTCCCAGTTTGACTTGTTGTGGAGAAATTAATTTTTGATTATTGAATTGGTTTCTTACATGGAACGCACCTTTCTTGAAATGTCGGAAAACTTCCGAGAAACTTGCAACTTTTTTTATTTGATTGAAGGGCCATTTAAGCAAGAAACCCAACAAGCAAATTTCCGATTCCTCTTATTGGCAAAAATAAATTATCAAATATAAGCATCTACTAAAGTGCTACTGTAAACAGATTTGTACACACCAAGTTTAAAAAATTGTAATATTTTTCGGAAAGTGCGACTGATGCGAAGCTTGGGCGACTTATACGTAACTATTAGCTCTATTCAGTGGCGCACCAAGCATTTTTCCAGTACCGCTCATTGTCAACAAATACATGATCGAAAATTAGCTTCTCAGGCGAAAACGCAGTAAACACATTTGCATACGATTATTCAAAAACTCAGAAAAAAGTGCGGTTTAGGTGATTTGCTGAACTTTTCACAAGAACATACAGTTCTATCCGGCAGTATAACAATCATTTCTGGCGTTTCTCTCGTTGTCCCAAAATAATCTGTTGAATATTAGCCTCTAACGTGATGCTAGAAAACACATTTAGCCCCCAAGTTCACCAAAATTCAAAAACATGTAAACGTTTAATCAGACATGTAAACGAAAACTACGAAAATTAAGCTCGAAAGAGGCGAATACAAGAACTTAAAAAGATGTAAAACTTCTACTAAAAGTGCAATTGTAGTGAATTTCTGAACTTACAAGCAAAACTCAACTCAGCAAACTAAAAAAAAAATATTGATTTTCACACAGAGTAGAGGACACATTAACACCTAAGTTTAAAAATTTGTAGACGCTTCAGGAAACATGCAGCTGATGTGAAATTTTGGCCTCTTATAGAAAAAAATTAAGCTCTATCCAGTGACGCAGAAAGCACTTTTCCAGTTCCTCTCGCTGTAGGAAAATAAATTATGTAAATTTGACTGGTAAGGGTTGATCATAACAAGGATACATGCACAAGATTCTTCAAAAATTCGACAAATTTAGACAAAAAGTGCGACGATTCTCGGGGAACTTCGAGCTCTATTCACTCGAGCAATAAACGCCATTTCGGTGCTACTTATTACCGGGAAAAAATATTGAAAATTGAGTTCAAAGGGGTGAACACCAGAACCTAAACATGTGTACAAATTCAAAGAAAAGTGCGATTGAAATGAATTTCTGGAGCTTTTAAAAAATATTGAGTTTTACTCTTTGACTGAATAAAGAACTCAGAAATGAATTAAGTTCCAAAACTAGAGATTCAAGAACTGGAACCAATAGATTAATGAAGATTAGGTTCGAAAGAGAGAACATGGAAAATATATTTGCACCAATCGCCTTTAAATGTGTAAAACTTCAACGAAAAGTGCCATTAAAGAGAATTTCGGAACTTTTTAACCAAGCACTGAGTGCATGCTCAAATCTAATCAGCGGCCCAACAACCATCCTGTTCGCATTCTTTCATTGTGGAGAATTAAATTCCATAACTCATAAGCGCATAAGATCACAGCGCGTAAAGCGCTGTCGTTAGAAAACATTTTATGCAAAATCAAAAAGTGCAACTAATGAATTTAATTAACTGATTTATTCGTATTTATCGATAATTAATTATTATTATTTAATTAATTTCGTCAACTGACGAGGAGCTGAATAGTTCAGTTTTCGTGGCATTTGCTTGAAACTGGAAAAAATGCGAAATAAAGAGTTGAGATTTAAGTAAATTTGTTGGCGTTTGGAAGGAACATTGAGCTCGATCTAGTGCCGCATTCAGTATCTTTCCAAAGCAACTCATTGTGGAAAAATTATTTATTGAAGATAGGCTTGAAAAGGGAAACAAAGAATCCACGTTTGCACATCGTAACTTGATGTAAGAAAGTTGAGGTTTAAGTGAATTTCTGGGCGTTTGGAAGGAACATTAAGCTCGATACAACCATATCTGCACATGGTAACTTACAAATTCGCAAAACATTCAAAAAAAATTGATCTTTAAGTGCGTCTCTGGGCGTTTGTAAGAAAAATTAAGCTCTATTCAGTGGCATATCAAGTACGTTTTCCTGTTTAGTCGATGTCAAGAAATAAATAATTAAATATCAGTATCTAATGCGTTAGCGTTTGAATATATTTTCACACATAAATTCGGCGCGATTAATATCTAAAAGTGCCACTAATACGCAATTTTGTCAGCTGTTAAGCAACTCAACTCCATCCGGAGTTGCAATAAGCACTTACTCGGTTCCTCTCATTAGTCAAAAATAAATTGTAAATCATCAACGAAAAGCACAGTAATGATAAGATTTTAATTTATAAAATAAGCGCTTTAGCTCAAAAGCATTAGAAGAAATTATGTATTTATAAGAACCTAGTGTACCTATCCAGGGCTAGAACAAGCACCTTAGTTCGCTGTTAGGCAGCAGAAGACAAAGATTGAGCGCAAAGAAAAAGGAGAAAAATCTTCAAAACGTGCAAATCCAGTGAATATCTTGCTTCAAAAAAAAATACAATGTACTTAAAGAATTAAATATGCTCACTTGAATAAAGCCTTAGAATCAACTTGATATAAAACGTAAGTAGACTAGTTAATAAGCGAATTACTTACCTCGAAACTTCTGGTCGATTCTGGCGCCTTTATGCGAATGTCCGTGAGAGGAATCAAGCAAAGCAGCCGCAAGAGTGGACGAATTATTGCTGCAAGAGGCGCCATCTGAACAGGAAACGCTTGAGGACCCAGAACGATAAAAGGGACTAGCTGTAGGCACGGGACTGTACACTTTGGAGATGAATTCCTCAAATGTGGCACTGTATTTATGTTTCGTTACGACTGTCTCCAACGATCGAGCACGTTCTTCGTAACTAAATACAAAAAAGTCATAAAATTTGTTCAAATCACAAACCAAAAGTGTAATACGTACTACTGTTGATAAAATTGGTAAGTCATCCGTTTTGCCCTGCTGGCACATACAGCGGTCGCCCTTACCAGGCCCGCCAACACGTGGTCCTCAATGATCGACTCATTATATAAAACACCGAAACATGGGACCTGAAAATATCGAAAAATTAATTTTGAACACTTAATGAGTTCGCAGTGTTCTTAATGGACTTACATCAGCTTTGCAGTTAACAGTAACTCGATTCAAGTGGTTTCCCAATGGATAGATCACTATTAAAATATCACAGAACTCGGTGGGAATGATGTCCCTTCGGTAGTCCCGATTGTGCTCGGACCACACAATGTGAACCTCATCATTCCCCAAATGCCTTGTCTGTAAAACAAATATTCCATTCACTTTAAACAATATTTTCTGAAGCTCAATCTACCTTAAACTACAAAAAACAAGCTACAGTTTAGAGACAGACAGGCGAAATCGGACGCTAAAGCCTATCTGGGGTGTAATGAAAACCGTAATTACTAGAAACTAGAAAGGTTTGCCCTCCAAGCAGTTTCGCCCCCTAATGTTTTTGATGAATTAGACACTTCAACTTTAGAGCTGTTTATATTAAAATTAAGACTGCAATTCGTTCGAATTTTCTTTTCTTTCTAAGCCATCGATGCATACGCTTGGACGGACAGTTTACTAGCGCCGGATTCAACATACACTCATAGAAAACTGCACTTTTCAGCCAATTTATTAACGATTGCTCAAGTTAAAGGCGGTCAATGAATTTGAATTAATGAAGAAACTGTTTAAAAATGCAAAAAACGTGTTTCATCTTCACTTCTTTCTATCTTTCGAGGAGACATAAAAAAATCAAGCACTTCTTAAATCGCCAATTTAAAGCTTAGCAATATGAAAAAGATTTTTCAACTTGTAGGTTGCAGTTCGATTATTGTTGTCGATACAGGGTGAGCCAAACAGAACTGGAAAAACTCCGTCAGTATGTGAGAATTAAAATGTTTGTAATGGGTTTATTTTGTGTATTATTTTATATATTATATCTATTTTCGAAGTAAAATTTATGGAAATCTCAAAAAATCGATTTTACGAATTACGATAGGTCGAAATTAACAACTCATTTTTCTGTGTTTTTAAATGACGAAACATTTGAGGCCAAATACCAAAGAAAAAGATTTTGAAAACATCGCAGATGATTTTCACCATAAAATGCTATATTTTACTAAAACGGTCAACATTTGAGCTTTCGATTAACAGTACTTTTACCCGCAGGAAACAATGAACTTTCAAATTGTCTTAATTTTCCAGTAGCGTAGAAGTTCAAGGGCAAAGTGGGAAAAAAATCCACGTTTTTGGATCCACAATGTTGGACTACCTTTGGAGACGGGATAAATTCTGACTGCTTAGAGCGAATTGATTTCTGTTTGAAGCGTTATTTAGTGCAATTTGTTTTCGATTACTGCGTCGTTTTGCAAAAAATTAGTGCTTCAGAGAAAGTTTCTACAGGATGGCAAATGAAACAATGCAAAATTGGTGAAAGTTACGCGTGCTCTGAGTTGGACAAAAAAACCATTTCCTGTACTTCAACACCACAAGCATTAAGGTAGACCTCATATCTCGAAAAACGTTTATGAATTTTTTGCCAGATTGTTTATTTACAGAGTGGTCTTCAAAAAATCAACTTTTTGTTCTTGCAGTAAGCATTTTTTCTCTTGAACCCATTTTGAAAATCTAGGGTTGATGTTCAAGCTAAAACATCAGAGTGGACTTATTAATAATTCAACATACCGGGTAGGCATAAATGAACGAAATATTTCAAAGTGAACTTCACTTTAATTGAAAGTGTACCAGAGACCCAGATGTTGGGGCAATTCGGCGTTGGGCCATTCTTTCTGCAGCCCCGTATATTGAATTTTTGTCTTAAATCGTCTGTGAAGTTCAACCTTCAACATCAGCTCTGGATCGTGAAATTCGGATCAAGACCAGAAAAGTTAATTTTTTGGACCACCCTGTAATTATGGCCAAACAATTCTAAACCCGTTTCGAGCTTTTGCATTTATCTTTACACTTTTCGTGCTGAAATCCAATAAACCTCATTTTTGTCCAACTCGGAGCATGCCGGACTTTGCAAAAAATGCATTTTTTCATTTGCAGCCCTGTAGAAAATTTATCTGCGCAGCTTAATTTTTACCAAAACATTGACAAACAAAAAAGAAATGGGTCTCAATAGCACTTCAAACAGAAACCAAATCGCTCTAAGCAGTCAGAAGTTATCCAGTTCCAAAGTTAGGGCAAATTTGGCTGTGGAACGTTCATCTTCGTGAGCAGTTAGTTCCAGAAATATGGTCGAAAAACTAGGAAAAAATTGTTGAACACCCCGAATTTTGAAAACAGAGCTTTTCGCAGATTATCACACTGTTTCCACTCTATTTTTGAATGCACAAGACGCTGCTGAAGGTTTCTTCTTGCTGCTAAACTTGCCTTTGGGTCGTCCGGTATAATTTTTTTGCTACTTAGATCCATATTCCTCATAAAAACAATTTATTAAAGTAAAATATCAAATATTCAAATGCTTGGATTCAATAATTTTCAAAATCCCTTTTGATATACCGAGTGGTCAGCGTCTGGTAGCTCGAAAACTACTAGAATTATTAACTTGAGTCATTCTTTTACATTTACTGTACAGAAACAGGAAAGAACAGAAAAACAAAGGAAGTGAAGAACTGAAGAAAAACAGACAGGAAAAATGTTGACATATACACGGTGGTCCAATATATTGGGACGCCAATAGTGCACACAGTTTTTAACCAAACACCCTGTTGTTTTTAATACAGATTGAAACACTGTGTGTTGTTTGGTATCCAGTAACTCAAGGAACATAAATTAATAGCAGGAGAACCAGATGATTTTCCCGAAAAAAAAAACGGTTGAGTTCTTCCAAGAGAAAATGACTCATTTACGAAAGCGCGACTTGCTTTGGAAAAAGTATACAGGATGATTAAAAATCCAAGCATTCAATATTATTTGCTCTGCTCACAACTGTTACCTTGCTAAGTACAGCTTCCGGGCTATCACCCGGCATTCTAGTGGCTACGTGGAAGATCGCCTCCATAAAACTGGTAGCAACATAAGGAGCGGTCATGCCATTGGAGCCCTGTTTCTGCAACCCGCCCAAAAACCCCGTGTGATATTCCAGCTCGATTTCCCAAGCCAAACCGGCTAGAAACTGTTCATACGCCACACTGCCGCTCTGATTGGATAAAATCGAATTTTTGTCTTCCTGCCCTGGAGCCACGTAAATGACGGCAAACTGCAATGAGGCAAGCAGCGTTAAGGTTGAGCTGCAATTGAGACACTGTTTACTACCTTGTGAGTCTCCCTGCAACTCTGATTGTCCAAATTCCTCAGCTCCCTTAAGAGACGATCGTTTTTGTCTAGAAGGTGGATTTGTTTCCGGCGATCCCATCCAGATAAACCCAGTTGGGAAAACAGCAGCCGACATTGCTGGAAAGCGTTTTCTTCTATGCTTCCAAACGGCCCTGTGGTAAAACGATGTCGATCATTTTGTTTAGAGCCCGAACAGTTTGCCGGTTTACCTGGTTGATGAGGAGTCGACTCCAAACTAGAGCAGCTTCTTCTCGCTGCCCGTCTTCTCGGCTTTCTTGCGGGGGTTCCCAGCATGTAGGAAGAATGCTGAACCAAGCGCGCCTCTTCGATTTCAACATTTCGCTGACTGATCACGGAAGCAATCACTTCCTGCTCTAGCTCTAGAAAAAGAGGCGGAGCGGCCGGCTCATTCAGCTTGATATTGGGCGACTCCAAACACTCCGGACTGGTGTGACCCAGATATTGAAGCAGCTGGAACAAGCGAATGAAACAGTCGAAAGGGATCCGTTTAAATGATGTGTCTTTTAGCCTTTTTAGAGGGGAAAAATAAAAACCTTTTCAATTTCAAAATGGCTTCGCGTTTTCTTACTTCAAGTCTCGTTCACGCCACAGCTATTAAAAAAATCCTCAAAAATCCTTCCTAGATCGTCGACCATGGATGTAATATACGGATTCATCGAGAACGATAATAATTCCGATTCATTCGTCAGAAACTAAGCTAAACATCGGCAAATGAAGATGCAAATAAGAACAGGGTTTACGAGAAAAGTGTGTCTAGTTTAGTTTCTAGAAAATTCGCTTTTCTTTCATGGTCCAAAGTAATAAGTTTAAATAAATTCCTAGGAAACCTACATTATCCATGGTGTGTTATATTATTGGAAAGAGAATTTAAAATGTTACAAATTTAAATTAAAATATACAGGGTGTTCAGTTTTACAAAAATGAGCTCAGGTATGAAAACTTTGTTACCTGACCCCTTAAACGGCAATTTCCTCAGAGCCCTAAAATGAACCGGAAACTTTTCCACATTCAATAGCAGTCGAGCACACTCAAAATGTTGCTAAAATGGTGGTTCAAGTTTCCATCTATTTCAAATCGCCTCCAAAAGTTTCTATTAGTTAAGCGCTAATGAATGTTTGGTGTTTCAGCCGTTTAGTTACTAGAAAAAGACTTCTGTTTATAAATGAAGGTTGTGAATAAAATGTGATCGCTTAAAACTCGTTTTATATTTTTTTGGGGCACTTTCCCATGGGTCAAAGAGCGTGAGTCAATAAAGAATATTCGAAAAAAAGGTGTCAGGTTCAATTAATCCGTCAGCCTAAATCGACTGGGATTGATATCGTGCATCACAGATTTATCGGGCTCATTTAGAGAAAATGGATGGCAAAATACTCTAATTTTTGTTTTTGCTGGGAGAAGCATTCGCACCCCAGCCGTTCTAGATGAACCAAATCCCCCTGTAAGTTTGGCAATATCGACCACTTTTCAATCACATTACACATAACAAAAGCATTTTTTTGAAACTTTTGTGCTTTCAAAACGGAAAGTTTCCGGCTTGTTTCATTCTGTGTTCGTTAAACGGGAATTTATTTGTTAAACTCTCTGTGAGAGACTGAAAAGTATCACTTTGCAAGTGCTTTCATTATGTAATGGGAGTTAAAGCTTAAGTTAAGTAACTAAACGGGAAAACTCATCGGTTGAGGCAATTCATTTTCTGGGTCAATTTCAGCTGAAAATGAGTTGACTAAAAAACCCAATGGGTGCGTTCTGAAAATAAACCCATCGACTTGGTAGTGATTTTACGGAAATTTCTCCAAAAAGCCGAAAATACTCTCAAATGTGTCCTCTGGATTATTGCAAGGGAGATAAAACAGAAATTTTCATTTAGTGTTGGAAGATTTGCACTATTTAAAAAATGGGCTAATTTTCATCAGTTTTAGTCTCATTCCTGGGGTTTCTGGGTCCATTTCAGCTGAAAATGAACATCAAGTCGACTATACATAGAACTTTCAAAGCAAGACAAACCCATTGATTTGTGGTCATTTTGTGCTAAAATTTCCCCGGCAATCCGAAAATGTTCTCAAAACTGTCCTTTTTTTTTACTGCAAAATCGCAGTTTGTGTCTAAGGTTGGCACCTAATTTTACACAATTTTGTAAAAGTGGGCCAAATTTCAGCAGTTTCAGGCTCATTTTCGGGTTCTTACGCCAATTTCAGCTGAAAATGAGCATCAAGTCGACTAAAGAACTTTCAAAGCAAGATAAACCCATTGACTTGTAGTAATTTTCTCCTAAAATTTTCCCGGAACGCCGAAAATCACCTCAAAACTGTCCTGTTTTTTACTGCAAAATCGCAGTTTGTGTCGAAGGTCGGCACATAATTTTCACGCTCATTTTCGAGTTCTTGCGCCAATTTCAGCTGAAAATGAGCATCAAGTCCACTAAAGAACTTTCAAAGCAAGATAGACCCATTGACTTGTAGTCATGTTATGCTAAAATTTCCCCGGAAATCCGAAAATCTCCTCAAAACTGTCCTTTTATACTGCAAAATCGCAGTTTGTGTCGAAGGTTGGCACTTACTTTTGCACAATTTTGTAAAAATTGGCCAAAATTCAGCAGTTTCAGGCTCATTTTCGAGTTCTTGCGCCAATTTCAGCTGAAAATGAGTATCAAATCGACTAAAGAACTTTCAAAGCAAGATAGACCCATCGACTTGTAGTCAGTCATGTTATGCTAAAATTTCCCCGGAAATCCGAAAATCTCCTCAAAACTGTCCTTTTTTTTTACTGAAAAATCGCAGTTTGTGTCGAAGGTTGGCACTTAATTTTACACAATTTTGTAAAAATGGGCCAAATTTCAGCAGTTTCGCGCTCATTTTCGAGTTCTTGCTCCAATTTCAGCTGAAAATGAGCATCAAGCCGACTAAAGAACTTTCAAAGCAAGATAGACCCATTGACTTGTAGTTATTTTATGTTAAATTTTCCCCGGACAGCCGAAAATGCCCCCAAAACTGTCCCTTGTTTTACTGCAAGCCAGACAAGTCAGAAAATTGCCTTTATTGTCGAAGATTGGCAACTAATTTTACAGTATTTTAAAAATGAGCTAATTTTCGGCAGTTTTAGTATCACTTGGGGTTTCTGGGTCCATTTCTGCTACATTGCAAGCAAGATAAGTGAGAAAATCGCAGTTTGTGTCGAAGTTTGCAACTTAATTTTACACAATTAAAAAAAAAACTGGCTAAATTTCAGCAGTTTCACGCCCATTTTCGGGTTCTTACGCCAATTTCACCTGAAAATGAGCATCAAGTGGACTAAAGAACTTTCAAAGCAAGATAAACCCATTGACTTGTAGTCATTTTATGCTAAAATTTCCACGGAAATCCGAAAACGCCCTTAAAACTGTCCTTTTTTTTACCGCAAAATCGCAGTTTGTGTGGCACTTAATTTTACACAATTTTCTTTGGGTCAATTTGTACCTCGAAAACTTAACTTTCGGTTAAGAAAAATTTGCCTGAAAGACAAGGAAATCGGTAGTTCAGGCTTCAAACCAAAAAATGTTTGCTTCGAAACATCTTCCAAACCATCATAAAACGTTCAAGTAACTCCATCACCATGTTGATCTTCAAAGACCATTATTTATATGAACTAGCACTTACATCATCCAACTGGTCCAGATCGGGAGCAGCATTCGACACTTCCGGTAAGACGTTGGGAGGCCGATGTCTGATGGCTCTTTGCGGTAGATTCTGAGTCACCCACACTGTGGACATAAGACTTTCCGGTTCCGGATTGGCCGCTGGGCTGCTCAATCCGAACGATTCTGGCAGACCGGAGTCCTAAACCATTAGGTTGCAGATTTATCCGGAGAACCCTTCTGATCTGCTCACGTACCTCTTCCTGCACACTTTCGGGCGTTCTATACAAGATCGAAGCGTCCCAGCTGGATTTTCCAGACATGTCTCTGAGCAGGACTCGGACTTGCTCTTCTGCAGTGACTAGACCGGCCGTGGCTCCACCTCCGGGCGAATCTAACGTCGGCAGCTCTATCAGGCTGGCGATGATATTTTTGGTAAGAATAAACAGCTGAAACAATCAGAAAGTTGGACCTCCGCACGCTAAGAAAGACGGGCCAAACTTACCTGAATATTAGGAACGGAAAAAATCACATTGGACAGATCATCCGAAGACAAGTTCGGAACGTCGTCATGTTCGGCTACCAGGGAGCTTAAGCGCGCCGCTCCAATCGCCATGGGGAAATGTCCCAGATGGTTCACCAAGTGCGCCAGCACGGTTTCAGCGCACAACGTGACGGCTTTTTGGAATTGGACGTTTTTGCCTGGACTTTTGACCGGCAAAGACTCAGGTAAATCCTCCGAAGAAATGTTCGGATCAAAGTCGTCAGACGCTCCAAGTCTGGCAAGTCTGCTGTGCGGGGCTTCGCAAGCTGTGCCTGTTATTATCTTGTGCAATACCTGAAAGTGCGATTAGGACTGTTTATGGATCGGGACTCACTTCAAAAACGCATCCAATAATATTAATAATAATCATCTTTATTTATATGCAGGGTGTCCCGGAAATGGTGCGACCAACCCTTCACGCAGTAGTTCTAGAGCAAAAATTAGTGGAACAAGTTCCTAAAATTTTAATTTCTTTGATTTTCAATTCATCGCGTACGTTTCCTCTGTTGTGTTTCTTCCTCAACTCTTTTTCATCCAGAGTTCTTTAATCTTGTACTGGTACGTTTTCTCGTTTGCTTTTAGTATATTTTTTGGCTTCTTCTAACAAATATTTCACGTGCCTTTAGCACAGCTGGCTCTATTTCGTCTGCCTTTTTGTAGAATTGCTTCATTCCTAAAATTGTGTAAATGTCCTTCTTTTCCCTTTTCCTTCCTTAGGACTTTGAAACTTTGGACTTTTGAACATTTGCACCTCTTCTACGAAGGAACCCTAATTTCACTTCAGTACCCGCGCTTGGTGCGATTTAATAAATTTTCAAACACAATCGCTTCCGATTAAAACACCCGATATTTCAGATGAATTTTGAAAATCTCGCAAAAATTTACGAAAATTTGTGCAAATCTGACATTTTGGATTATTGAACGTCGGCGTCTTTTCTACGAAAATACCGAACGTTCACTTGATTATCTGAGCTTGATGATTTTTGAAAGATAATCGCGCTCCATTTAAACACTCGCTTTTAAGGTCAATTTTAAAAAATTCCCAAAAGTCAACGAAAATGCTTGCAAATGTGAAACTTTGCACAAATTGAACATTTGCATTTCTTGTACGAAAGAACCGAAATTTCACTTCATTACCTGCGCTTGATGAAATTCGATGAATTTTCAAAGACAATCACGTCCCATTTAAACACTCGGGTTATAGGTAAATTTGAAAATTTCCCAAAAATCAAAGAAAATTCGTGCAAATGTGAAACGTTGGACTCTTGAGCGTTTGCACCACTTGTACGAAAGAACCAAAATTTCACTTAATTACCTGCACTAGATGTGATTTCATGATTTAAAAAAAACAATCGCTTCCGATTAAAGCAACCGATATTTTAGATAAATTTTGAAAACTTCCCAAAAATGAACGAACATTCGTGAAAATCTGACATTTTGAATTCTTGAAAGTTTTTGCCTGGACTTTTGACCGGCAAAGACTCAGGTAAATCTTCCGAAGAAATGTTCGGATCAAAGTCGTTAGACGCTCCAAGTCTGGCAAGTCTGCTGTGCGGGGCTTCGCAAGCTGTTCCTGTTATTATCTTGTGCAATACCTGAAAGTGCGATTAGGACTGTTCATGGATCGGGACTCACTTCAAAAACGCATCCAATATTATGTATTAATAATAATCATCTTTGTTTATATGCAGGGTGTCCCGAAAATGGTAGTTCTAGTAAAATGAGTGGAACAAGTTCTTGATTTTGAGAATTTTGAGAATTTCTTTGATTTTCAATTCATCGCGTACGTTTCCTCTGTTGTGTTTCTTCCTCAACTCTTTTTCATTCAGAGTTCTTTAATCTTGTACTGGTACGTTTTCTCGTTTGCTTTTATTATATTTTTTGCCTTCTTCTAACAAATGTTTAATCTGTCTTTAGCGCAGCTGGCTCTATTTCGTCTGCCTTTTTGGACAATTGTTTCATTCCTAAAATTGTGTAAATGTCCTCCTTTTCCCTTTTCCTTCCTTAGCGTTAAAGAAGCCCATTATTATGCTGATAATCCTCAACTATTTCCTGAACGACTCCTGAGCTTGAGGCTTGAGCTATTGCTCAAATGCTGCTTTCATTTTATTTTTCAAAAGCATTAAGTGTCCAAGCATCTGCAACACCAAACTCACCCTGTATGCGTATCAACAGGTATATCGATCCAGCCTTTGCCTCATGGTTACATCAACAGCAAACCTTCAAAGGGCCTTATCACCCTGACGACCAACAATGCTAATCGATCCCTGGCTTTCAACCGAAGAAATGACATCAAAAAACAACCAGCGCCTCTCCATTCCCAATCATTTGGAGAAAATCAAAGTAGAAACCCGAGAAAGACGACGCAATTTACTGTATTTAGTGCTGGCCTTCTTGAGGGAGCAGATGCTGGACCAAACAGCGGACGCTCTTCTAAAAGAAGCGCGACTGGATGATGGGTACCAGGTATGCGAAAACGTCGAACTGGACATAATCCTGCAGGAATACCAAAGCTACTACTACACAAAATTCCAAAAATACCCAAAAATAATCAGAAAGTTGGAGGACAGCGAGCCGAAGCCGCCCAGAAAGTCAAACCCCAAGCGAGGTCGGAGCGCTAAGCGAACCATTGGCCAGGAAAAAGCCGACAGTCCATCAGACAGCGAAGACTTTCAATTCGAAATAATCCCCTTAAACGCTTCGAATAGTCCAAGCGGTGATTTGCCGGACGAAAGGGACAATAAGGACTTGCCTGAGCTGGTTTCCAATCAGTTGGTAATTGAAGACACGGGGGTGCGATGGTCAGACTGCTTGGGCTTGAATGTTCCAATAGAAATTTTAAAAGAATCTACCCTTTATCCCTTGTACTACCCAGAGGTGTTCAAGGATTTAACGCCCTGGAAGGGCGTTTTGCTGCATGGACCGCCGGGGACAGGAAAAACCCTACTGGCAAAAGCTCTGGCTTACGAAGGACGCACCACCTTATTCAATGTAACTAATAGGTAAGCACCAAAATGAAAGTGTTCTGTTCTACAAAAATTCCGAAAGTTTGCTTCATTGCCTGCGCTTGATGAAATTTGATGAACTTTCAAAGAAAATCGCGCCCCGTTTAAACAATCTTAAGGTCAATTTTGAAAATTTCCCAAAAATCAACGCAAATTCGTGCAAATGTGAAACTTTGGACTATTGAACATTTGCACCTCGTCTACGAAAGAACCGAAATTTCACTTCATTACCTGCGCTTGATGCGATTTGAAGAATTTTCAAACACAATCGCTTTCGATTAAAGCACCCGATATTTTAGATAAATTTAGAAAAATTTTCAAAAATGAACGAAAATTCGTACAAATCTGTCATTTTAGATTCTTGAACGTTGACGCATTTTCTACGAAAATACCGAAAATTCACTTCATTACCCGCGCTTGATGAAATTTGATGAATTTTCAAAGACAATCGCGACCCATTTAAACGCTCGCTTTTAAAATAAATTTTGAAAATTTCCCAAAAATCAACGAAAATTCGTGCAAATTTGAAACTTTGGACTTTTGAACATTTGCACCTCTTCTACGAAGGAACCCTAATTTCACTTCAGTTTCTGCGCCTGATGCGATTTAATGAATTTTCAAACACAATCGCTTCCGATTAAAGCACCCGCTATTTCAGATGAATTTTGAAAATCTCGCAAAAATGAACGAAAATTTGTGCAAATCTGACATTTTGGATTATTGAACGTTGGCGCCTTTTCTACGAAAATACCGAACGTTCACTTCATTATCTGCACTTGACGAAATTTGTTGATTTTAAAAAAACAATCGCGTCCCATTTAAACACTCGCTTTTAAGGTCAATTTTGAAAATTTCCCAAAAATCAACAAAAATTCATGCAAATGTGAAACTTTGGACTCTTAAAGTTTGCATTTCTTGTACGAAAGAACCGACATTTCACTTCATTACCTGCGCTTGATGAAATTTGATGAATTTTCAAAGACAATCGCGCCCCATTTAAACACTCGCTTTTAAGATCAATTTTGAAAATTTCCAAAAAATTTTGGACTCTTGATTATTTGCACATCTACGAAAGAACCGAAATTTCACATCATTACTTGCGCTTGATGTGATTTGATGATTTTTGAAAGACAATCGCGCCCTTTAAAACAGGCACTTTGAAGGCAAATTTTGAAAATTTCCCAACAATCAACGAAAATTCGTGCAAACGTGAAACTTTGGACTTTTGAACATTTGCACCTCTTCTACGAAGGAACGCTAATTTCACTTCAGTACCTGCGCTTGGTGCGATTTAATAAATTTTCAAACACAATCGCTTCCGATTAAAGCACCCGATATTTCAGATTAATTCTGAAAATCTCGCAAAAATTAACGAAAATTTGTGCAAATCCGACATTTTAGATTATTGAACGTCGGCGTCTTTTCTACGAAAATACCGAACGTTCACTTCATTATCTGCGCTTGATGATTTTTGAAAGACAATCGCGCCCCATTTAAACACTTGCTTTTAAGGTCAATTTTGAAAATTTCCCAAAAATCAACGAAAATGCTTGCAAATGTGAAACTTTACACTATTGAACATTTGCATTTCTTGTACGAAAGAACCAAAATTTCACTTCATTACCTGCGCTTGATGCGATTTGAAGAATTTTCAAAGACAATCGCGTCCCATTTAAACACTCGGGTTTTAGGTAAATTTGAAAATTTCCCAAAAATCAAAGAAAATTCGTGCAAATGTGAAACTTTGGACTCTTGAGCATTTGCACCACTTGTACGAAAGAACCAAAATTTCACTTAATTACCTGCACTGATGCGATTTCATGATTTAAAAAAAACAATCGCTTCCAAAATTGCACTTCAGTGCCTGCGCTTGACGCGATTTAATGAATTTTCAAACACAATCGCTTCCGATTAAAGCACCCGATAGTTAAAATACATTTGAAAAATTTATCAAAAATTAACGAAAAGTCGTGCAAACCTGACATTTGCGATTCTTTAAATTTAGCGCCTTTTTTACGAAAATACCAAAAGTTCACTTCATTACCTGCGCCAAACTTGATGATTTTAATGAATGAATGAAAGACTTAATTAAACCCTTGTTTTTAAGGTAAATTTTGGTAATTTCCCAAACATCAACGAAAAATCGTGCAAATTTAAAATTTTGGACGGGAACATTTGCACCTTTCCTATAAAAAAACGAAATTCCACTTAACCCTTCCCTGCACTTGATTTTTTGAACATTATATGAATTTTCAATCACAATCGCGACCAACACCAGCTTTAAGGGCAAAGTTTGAAAATTTTTAAAAAATCAACAAAAGTTCTTTCAAGACTGAAACTTTGACCTCTTGAAAACTTGTGTTTGCTCTATTAAACTACCAAAATAACGACGAACAAAATATTTTGAGGAAATTTTGAAAAATTCCCAAAAATCACCAGAATATCGTGGACAACTGAAATTTTGGATTTTTGGCAATGTATCTCTTTTCCACTAAAATGTAAAAAACTCCTCTTTATTACCGGCGCTTGGTAAAATGTTATTTTTTTTCAGCGTTTTTTTTTTCTTCGAGCAATTTTTGAAGTGTTTTAAAAATTTATAAAAAATCAAAGAAAGTTTAATTATTTAGAGCTTTTTGCTATTCAAAAATGGCAAAAATCCAAAATGTCAGATTTGCACGAATTTTCCAGTGTTCATAACTTTCGCAACTATATAGTAAGACTGAAGAAACTCAACATCAGACCCACCCAAAATTATTCGTTTTCTTAAAGCCAATTCATCAGCAAATGGAGAGGCGAGTCGGAAAAGCTGATCAAAAATCTTTTCGACACCGCCAAGAATCACGCTCCTAGCACAATATTCCTGGACGAAATCGATGCCCTAGTGTCCGGAGTCCAGGACACCCAACACGAAGCCTCGAAACGCTTCCGAAGCGAACTGCTAACTCAACTGGACGGAATTCTGCCCAACCACCATCGAATCTTTGTGCTGGCCGCGACTAATTCGCCTTGGGACCTGGACAATGCTTTGCTACGCAGATTTGACAAACGCATTCTGGTGGACATGCCGGATAAGGCAGCCCGCCCATTGATTCTCAAACACCACATGAAAAGTACTGTTTCGAAATTGTCTTCAGCTGATTGGGAAGTGGCTGGAAAATGGACGGAGAATTATTCCGGATCGGATTTGCGTAACTTGGCCAAAGAAGTAAGCATGGGAATTGCGCGCGAACGCATTAAAACCCTGCAAACTGGGGCTAAGAGTGGTCCCACCAGGGCCGTTTGTCTAGAGGACATTAAAAAGGCCGTGGACAGGATCAGACCGTCCTCAAGCAGCGTCCTTACTAAAAAGTACTATCAGTGGCAAAATGAACATGGGGCTTTGTGATGTATATTAAAGAGCCTTTTAATAAGTAACTGAAAGTAGTAAGTCTTAACGAGTAGTTCTCTAGTCCTTGATATGAGTAGTCTATACGCAGAAAACATGTTTCATGGGATTTCGACATTGTGCAGAATACTGATAGAAAAAATCGAATTAATTCGAGTAGCTTTTAAAAATGTCTCCAATTAACGGAATAATTCCACACATTATTGGTCGCTCGATTAAAAACAAGGCGATTATTTCCATCAATAGAGGAGATGGAAGAGAAAAATACGTTTTTTGAGAAACTCCCTATTGAGTAAATATTTGATTAAACTCTCACCTTGAAAACTTCCAACAAAAGGCAACTGCCGCGATTTTCGCCATACTCGTTCGGTTCTAGTAACTTGGCAGGTCCCAGTCTCATGCACCATTCACCCAGACAAAGAAGTAGCGCTCTACTCAAAGCTCTATCAGTTTCTGAAGCTGACGGCCCTGAAAAAGTATAAAGTGATTAATTTCGAATTTCCTCTTCCATTAAGTCCTCGCTTAACGAGGAAAACACATTGACTTTTAGAAAAATTCCAAATTTCTTACCCAATGGAGCATGTCTATTCAGGGCATTACACAATTCGCTAATAACGCCATTTCCTAAGCGTGGATATCGAGTCCACAGAAGCCCTGCATGGTCGCAAAGTAGAAACAGAATGTCGCTGGTCAATTGCGCGATCATTTTATTGCTAAACTAAAATACAGATTAATCGAATATAGCGGTTGCAAGTGAATAAACAGGCTGTCCAGAAATAACATTGATTTTTTGGTTCGGGTTCTAGAGATTGAAAGAACAGGCCGAGGAGGCCTGCGGCTTCTGATCATATAAATGTACTTAACTATATAACATCCCTTGTTTTTTATAAATGCGATTCCAATGAATGTCATTAAAGGCTCGGACTCTGGATATTTAGGAAAAGTTATCGAAAATTGGTAAATGGGCAACTGACCATTCGATCAATTCGAAAATTACAAATATGCAGGTATTGATTCAGCAGAAAACCGTTTCGCTAGGCCGCAAGCATGAGAAGGAAAAATTCTGGCCAAGTCTCTTCCTTTTATCAAAAATAATACTTTTTTTTTTCATTGGTATCTCTGAATATTTTTAAAGCTTAGACAGTTCTGCTCAAACCAAATGAGACGAAGAAAGTTCCCATTTTCGCTCGATTTCTTCTGTATTTCTGTGAGTCAAAATTTCACATTTTCTGTCTACCGAACTGGTAAAGATATAGTCCGATATTTGTCAGTATTGTTTACAGAAAAACTTCTTCCATACGTTGATAAAGTTTCGAATTTACATCATCATCAGGTAATTTAATATAATTTTTCAAACTTGCGATGGACTTCCTCGTTGACTTCTAAAATCCAAAGTTTTACTTTTGTTTGCTCAGAAAACCACTGAAGGTATATCTGATCTTTGTTAACATTTTTTGCAAAAAGTGTGTGAACCGCAAATAAGAATTTTAAAGTTCCAAGAAAATCTCACTGGATTTTTCAATATAAAATACTTAAAAAAAAGCTTCTATTGGGCTGGTAGAATTTTATCGTTTCCGATACAAAAATTGTTCTAAACTTTTACGTTTTCTGGTTTCAGCTTCCATCTGTTTGGTTATTACTTTCTGATCAAATCCATCAAAGCTAAGATAATTTTTTAAACATTTTACCCAAAAGTTATGACAGCAGATATTCCGAGCATTTTTTTAGATATAATTGCTTGAATTTCGCAATGCTCTAAAATGTTTTTAAATTTTAAACAATAAAGAAGCTTTTGGGACGCAAAGAAAGTACAGAAAGACAGTACTTATGCAGGAATTTTCTTTATTTTTCATCGCCGTATTGGAATTCTCCGACTCACCCTTTTTTTCGCCGGAAAAAAAATTCTGGGTACATTTTTACAAAAGTGGTAGATGCTCATGTCCAGACGTTTTCCACTTTATCCGGCGCAAAAAATGTCCGGAAAGACGTTATTTATGCAGAAATTTACTCCATTTTTCATCACTGTTGGAATTTTCCGGCTAACCGCTTTTTTACCCCAAAAATAACATTTTAATAAAAGCAGTTGCTCATTTCCAGAAGAGTTCCACTTTTTCAGCCCCAAAAATTCCAAATCCATAATCCAAAAACACATTATTTCTGCAGAAATTTTCTTCAATTTCCATCACTTAATTGAAATTTTCCGGTTAGCCGCTTTTTCAGCCCCCCAAAAAAAAATTCAGAACTTCAAAAGAAACATTATTTATGCAAGAATTTTCTCCAATTTTTATCACTATGATGGGATTTAAAGAATGAAGAAGCTTAATGATGGAGCGAGACCTCTCAAACCTCTATCGAAAAGGTCTTAATAATTATATCAACCTTATCAATGGTTTCCAAGTTATAATTGAAAATTGTCAATGTTGAAAAACTCGTTATATCTTTGGAGCTTAAAAAGTTGTCTTGGTGCCTGAGGATGAACAATGGATATTGATTCATTCCATCAATCAATGGCTCTTAAGTATTTTCGGACTATTTTCTAACGTTTGCACGTTAATTTGCAATATAAGCTATTTTTAGTGATAATTTTTCCATATTCCTGCGTGGATATCGATCGATTTTAGGAATTTACTCAGTGAAACATAGTTCTCGATAAGACCCATCAAAAAGCTCCTAAGAACTGACCTGGAAATTTTAAACCGTTTTGGAAATATAAGGTGTTTAAAATCTAAAACACGCCGGAAATTTCGACATTTTTACTCCCAGTGCAACCTTCCTTCATTAGCATTCTTCCAGTTCCAAGGGTTCATTAAATTTGGTGAAAAAGCCTTTACTATTTGTTGCCGATTTGAATCTAAATAGGGCAGAGAAGTTGATATAATCATTAGATAAATCCTTAATCAGTCAACGTGTTTTCAAGTGCTTCCAGCCCTTTTAATGATATAAAAACGGTTTCAGTTATTCAAACGTGTAGACTCAACGTTTAAAAAAATATAAGTTTTTTCTGGACATCCTGTTAGCAAACTGTACCTTGAGCGCTGATAGAAGAACGTTAAGTGCCTCGACAATATTCGGATGGAATGTATGGTTGGTCAGTTCCTTATACACGAATATTCCTAAACCAGATAGAGCGATGCATCGGGCTTTTCCTGAAGGTTCTCTCTTTCCAGCTCGCAGCAAGATACGCACAACATGTTCCTAAAGAATGGTTTCATAGAAACAGAATTCTGGTTCTTAGCAAAAGTTGCAAGGAACAAAATGCATCATTTTAATGTGCCGCACTTTAAGGCGTCAGTTACATTGAAAAGTCGCTTGCTGTGTATTTTATACGTAAGAAGTAGACTTTAAATTAAAAAAATATCTTTAGTTTAAACCTGGGAAATAAAATTAGGCATTTTGTGTTCGTCGAGTTCTCGCATAGTGAAGCGACCTTCATCAACCAAACTAAAAATGATTGAAAGCAGTTTAAAAGCAAAAAAAAGGAAAAAGTTTGCTGTTTTGCCAGGCGAATTTAATGTCTGTAAAACGCATGTATTTTGTTCATTAACACTAACAATTAAAAAAATAAAACTGTTAATTTAGAACAGAGACAAACTGCTCATCAAAATGATATTACACCGGCAAATTTGCCCGAACTTTGTGGATAAATTGTGTTTGGTTCAAGCGATTTCGTTTCTGTTTGAAGCCTTATTTAGTAAAATTATTTTTCAGTTAGTGTATATTTTCGCAAAAAATTAAGCACTCAATTTTCTACAGGGCGACAAATGAAATAATGCAAAATTTTGCAAAGTTTGGCACGCTCCAATTGGACAAAAATGGGGTGCTTTGGATATCAACGCCAAAAGTTAAAGATAAACCAAATAGATCGAAACCGCTATTTTAATTTTTCGGCCATCTTTTCTATTTACAGGGTGGTCAGCCAGAAGATTCGTACAAAGTGAGTCTCAAAATTACTGTAATCAGTCAAATGCGATTCTACTGCAAAAAAATGCAAGGAGAAAGTTCAACTTTTCACCGTCTTTAGAAGACACTCGGATCTCAGGATGCAGAAAATTTCAAAAAAATCGGACAAAATTCTGATTTTTTCCACCTTGTTAAACGTGAGCCTAAAATTGACTGTTCAGTCAACTACGCTCCATCTCGAAACAAATCGTATCTTCGAAACCAAACCAAGAAACAATTCGAAAGTTTCACCATCTTGAGAAGATATTTGACACTAAAGGTGCTGAAAGTTTCGTAAAAATCCTGAAATTCTGAGTCAATCTTAGTCCCAACAGGGTGCTCTCAAAAAATCAACTTTTTGGTCTTGCAGCGATAACTTTTCTACTTTTGGTCCGATTTTGCGATCTCCAGCTCATCTTGCAGCTAAAACTTCATAGACAATTTAAGACGAAAATCCGATATACAAGGTTGCATAAAAATTACCGAAATTGTAATTTTACCCGAAATCTGTTTTCAAAGTTTAATTTCAAATAATTCGTTGGTTCATGCAATCCGGTTATTTATTTTTTCTAAAGTCGACTGCGAATTTTTAGCTTCAACGTGCGCCTTAGATTTTTCTAATCGGTGCAAAAAAATATCACTGCAATACAAAAAAGTTGATTTTTTTAAGAACACTGTAAATAAACGAGATGAGCAAAAATTAAAAAACTTTTTTCAGATACGAGGTCATAATGCCCGTACGTTTTTTTGTATTTCAAATTTAAAAAAAAAAACGTGTTTTTGTCCAACTGAGCATGTGGAACTTTCACCAATTTTGCATTGCTGCATTTGACACCCTGGAGAAAATGAGGCTGAAGCACTCATGTTTTGCAAAACCACGCACTGACCAAAAAAAAATTGCACTAAAGAACACTTCAATCAGAATTTTTCCAGTTCCAAAGCTAATCCTAATTTGTAGTTTTTAGTTAGTTAGTCTTAGCTTAAGTAGCTTAGCACAGTCACATGACTTACTCAAACTTATGGTGCGTCTAGACCTGACGAGCCAAGCCTAAGCCGAGCCTGAGCCGAGCCTGATCCGAGGCAAATTCTTTTGATGTTTCGTCAAACGACCCTTAGACGATCCATTTTCTGTTGGGTTCTGACAAAACATCAAAAGAATTGGCCGCGGCTTGGGCTCGGCTCGTCAGGCCTGGACGCGGCATTACATTTCTATAAATTAAATTTATTTAACCGAGCTTCTACTCCGAGGTTTCACCGAGTTGCTTGACTATGCCTGAAAAAATACCCTATAGATTTCATTTGACTGCCTCTTACCTTAATATCCGGGCAACTGTTCAAGACAGAAACATTAGATTCCGGCTGTAGCACTGATACCGAACTCAGATCGTCCGGTAAGCTCAGTAGATTAGTAAGCACAGAAATCGCTTCAGTTCTGGGTATCAATTCGGCCTTTTCAGACGTGTTCAGAATGTCGTCGCAAGCGTGCACAATATCCAGCAACAGTAAAGTGGATCCGGGCAACTGCAGTGACAAAAAACGTGGCCCCAAGTACTTTATCGAGGTGTTTTTCGTCGATTTACTCGAGCCAGTTAACGCTGAAGAAACACACACAGATTGATCAGCAAGTTCCCGAGGAAACAACCAAACTTACCAGAATGAATAAAGCAATAAAACTGCGAAAGACAAGTGCGATACTTGGAGTTGCAGTTCAACATCACGGAAATCAACAGCCGCAGCGCGTTCAGTTTCCCCGTTTCGTACGTCTCGGGCAGGCACAGAGCCCCAAAACACCAGGGCAAAATTAGGGTCAATGGAGGAACCAGCTCTGGAGCATGCGGCGTGCTTAAGTTATCCAGAGACACTCCTTGATTATGCTTGATTTTAATCAACGTGTCAGTCAGTTTGATCAGATATTCGAATACTTGAGCGTGCAACTTGGGATTGGAGATCTGGTTCACGTCTCCTAGGGCCCCTAACATTCGTTTCCACAAAATCACTGCCACATCGGGTAGCCAGCCTCGTATGGAACCTCCGCACACCACACCCCTAAATAACAACAGAACTTGCAATTCATTTTTTTTGTTTATTTAATAATCACTGAACTTTGGCCTTTTTTCTTATGCAAAAACTAGCGCGAAGTTTTGAAAATTATAGTGTCTTTAGCCGAATGAACGAAGCTTATTTTGATGAAGTAGGAGCAAACTTTTTATAGGCATTACTTTCTTTACTATTTGACGGCATTTTCAACAGGTTGAGAGCATGAGAATTTAAAAAATGGATCAATGGGTCAGTAACTCGAGTAACGCAGCAAAAACCTAATTAGTGAAAGGCCATTGACGAGAAAGGATTTCGAAAATCTTACTATAAATCCCGCAACGAAATGCGGGTTTGTAATCTTAAAGTTTTCCTTAGGAATTTTCAAAGTTGCGTTTGGTTTTTGTGGTTAGTTTTGCATGCCGCAGTTTGATATTTATTCAGAAAGTAATCAAGCGAGAAAGTCGCTTTTGTCCGTATTTTAAGGAGCAAAATCTGTTTTATTCGTGGCAAAATTGTCGATTTTAAGCCATCATTAGGCAATTTTCACGATTTTTCAAATTCGCGTCTAGTTTTGCTTTTGGTTTTTGCAGGTCGGAGTTTATCGTTCATTTCCCGTTTAATTTGCAATGTGAAACAGTTAGTTTTAGATACATTTTATCGAGCAAAGTTCCTCCTCTAAGTGAGCAAAGTTTCGATTTTGGGGCGAAATCGGCCAATTTTTGAAGAATTTTCAAAGTTGCGTCTGGTTTGCGCGGTTGCTTTTGCAGGCGGGCGTTTGGCTATTATCGGCGGTTATCCAAAATTAAAAACTCTTTTAAATGTTCTCGTACAATAAAATAAACTGACAACTGAACTGAACAAAAAAATGGGCTCAAATTGTTTTTCCCTAGCATTTATTTATTCAAAAACTAACGAGCTCAGAGAGTCGCTTTTGCCTGAGTTTTAAAACGTGAGGTCTATTTTACACGTTGCAAAAGCTTCGATTTTGAGCCATCATCAGTCGATTTTTGAGAAATTTTCAAAACTGCGCTTAGTTTTTGTGGTTGTTTTTGCAGGCCGCAGTTTGATTTTTATTTGTTCAGAAAGTAATCAAGCGAGAGAGTCGCTTTTGCCCGTATTTTAAAGCGCAAAATCTGTTTTATTTATGGCAAGTTTCGATTTTAAGCCATCATCAGCCAATTTTCACACGTTTTTTCAAAATATCGTATAGTTTTTCGACTGGTTTTTGCAGGCCGGAATTTAGCGCTTATTTCCTGTTTAATTTGCAATGTGAAACAGTTAGTTTTGGATACATTTTATAGAACAAAGGTCGTTCTGTAAGTGAGCAAAGTTTCGATTTTGGGGCGTCTTTGGGCGGATCAGTCAATTTTTGAAGATTTGCAGTTGGTCATTGCACTTACCGATGTTCTCCCAATGGTTCCCCCGTATGATTTTCAGCTAAAACATCCAACTGAATAGGAGAATCCTTAATAGAGCTGCTTTCGATACCGCTGGACGGAGCTGGTGAAGGAGATCGGGTTCGATCAGTGGATTCGGTATCGGGCGGAGGCAGCAATTCCAAGGACTTCGATCGCCTATGTTTGGTCTTGAGGGGAGAAACCAAATGAAACTAAATTCCAAAGGCATCAGAAAACCACTTACATAAGGTCGTTTCACAACGGTTCGGGGTTTCATATTGATGCTTGTTTCGCTGTAACTTCTAGCCAATCCGGATTTCAGTCGCTTGGATGAAAAAATATTCCCATCGGGCATTGAAGAGTCTTGACGCAAGACTGGTTGGTGCAATTGCGAACTTCCCGAAGCTGATGAAGTGATATTTTCCGGTCGCGCCACAATTCTCCTGGTCCGCTTCGATTTCTGCTCATTCAGTCTATCCAGGGGCAAATTATTCAGGTCCAGATTGTACACATGCCTGGCCAGGACTCTGGTTAAGGTCTCCATAGTTTTCTGCAATCACGACAATCAAGACTTTGGTTGCTTAATTAGAAAATGAGGGCTTACCGCCCATTCCTTGATGAGTTCCTCCCAATTCGTCAGAGAGGTGAGTACGTGCAAGAATCTGTCCCAAAGCTCCCTGGATATAGCCACGTTCAAATTGGCCTTAATCCACGTTACAATGAGCGTTTGGAATATGGCAGGAGCCAACTTTCCTCCTAGGGTAAGGATTTTCTTCTTTGGCGGCGTTTCGCCCAGCACCAAAGACGTGATTTGGAGCAGCACCAACAGCAGCTGCTCCCTGCAAAAGATTAAAAAGATTAGCAAATTTTAATTTTAATTAAAAATCCCACAAAAAATTGGGAAAAATCACTTATTAATTCATTGGTTTTAACTTACCATGTGTTGCTGTCCATCCTCACGTTCATAACCATGTATCTGTAGATATTCAGGATTCGTTTACAAGCGTCCGTCTGCTCTTCGAGCAGCCGGGGGATATTCGGATTCACTTCCAACAGGAAAACATTGGCCGCATGGGTCATGAACAGTTGATAGAGATTCTGCAAATCCACAATCCAAAGACCATTCGCAGATAATCTTGCTGCTTATTCTACCTGAAGTCCAGCCCTGACCAGCAGGTTTTCCTGTTGAATGGCGCCCAAATAGGAATCGTTCCTCAACCGCCCACTTCTACCATCCGGATCATGATGGTTCTTGGCCATTTCATCCGGAGGCTCCAATGCATAGATGGGCAATTCAGCCAAATTGCTCTGGATAAGATCCTTATAGACCAAGATGATTTTCCTGATGGCTATCACATGGCTGAAATTGAGCAAGAAAGCCTGTCTGAATATCTCATGGCTGAAGTTCACGTTGTCGCGAGTGGAGCACAAAACATCCCGAACGATTTGATTCGCCAATTCTTCATCTGTTGCGGTTTTATTGGTTTGGATGGAGATATCTGAAATATCAACCCAATTTCAATCAAGTTACGGTCAAAAGAAACGTTTCGCGGCAAATTTGCCCTAACTTTGGAACTAGATTAGTTCTGATTGCTTTAAGCGATTTGATAAAAAGGCTATAATTATAAATTAGGGTGCTTCAGATAAAGTTTCTACAGGGTGCCAAATGAAACAATGCAATATTTCTGAAAGTTTGCCATTCTCCCAATTGAACAAAAAAATGTTTTTTTTTTAATTCTACATACGAAAGCCATGTTAATAGAAATAGGGAATTTTCGTCCAAATTCGACTGTTAAGTGGAAAATTTGCACATTCGGGATTTCACCGAAATGCATTGTGGCCCTGAAACAGTTTTTACGCCAAGTCTTTAGGGCTTTAAAGGCTCAAGGGCTTTAAAGAGTTTTTAAATTTCTGGAAAATGGTGATAACTGACCGAGTTACAGGGTAAAGAGTGGAAGCGTGTGCCAGTTTGAGAGTTTTATGCTTCCCAATATTCCGAGTCCATTTCCTTCCAAACTGTTGCAAATACAATTTCTTATAGACGAGAATTCCAATGTCTCGAGAATCCACTTTGCAAACAACCTGATGTTCAATGTTGAAAATGAGTTAATCGATGTAAAAATTCATAGCATTTTGTTCGAAAAATTCATCAAAGCTTCCAAGTTCTTCTACCGATTGCAATTTTCCCAGCTGCAATTTTTATAGAAGAACGGACGTTTTTCCACAAATTTCAGCATTTCCAAATCGGTCCGATATTAACAGAGTTATGCAGAAAAGTTCTACATATAAAAAGCTGTTTTCCCATAAGTTTCGACCTTAAATCCACAAAGAAAACATTGATAACATTTGTCTTGAAAAATCGTCTTTTCGACCTTCAAACTCTTCTGATTTTCAAGTTTCTCAACTGATTTCAAGTTTGCAACATACGATTTTTAGACAAAATCACTCGCTTTGGAACGAATTTTCAATGATCCAAATCGGGCCGTATTAAGAGACTCATTTATTCATACGGAAGGATTAATTATAATAACAGCATAATATTCATAATATGCGTGTCTTTCGCGTTGGTGTTTGCCATCATGCAAAGTATTTATTTTCTGAAATTGTCTATGAAATTAGAAAAAACTATATATCATTAGTCGGCCTTATCCCAGCACAAAGTGTCCACATCTTCCCTTCAATATACGACTTTCAAGTTTCTCAACCGATTTCAATTTTGCAAAATATAATTTTTATGTTTTATGGTGTTTGCCATCAAATAAAGTGTTTATTTTCGTAAATTGTCTGTGAAATTAGAAACATTATCAACTGGATCCACCCTTAAATATGCAGTAGCTGTGTTTTTCGCACAAAATACTTCAACTTTCAGAACGCTCACTGCGTTTAAGCCCCCTTCTCTATCTTCTCCTTGTTGATTTAATACATTTGTGCATTGTGCGACTGGTAGAAATCATTAGCTATCCGCTGATATAAAAGTCATATTTGCTTACTTGAATCCAAGCTGGGATGAGCGGAATCAGTGTCCTCCTCATGAGCGGCGCTCCCAGGAATACTATGGTGGCTCTGAGGTCCTTGATTCGGACCATGATGCTCTCGCTTCGTCTGGTGCATGTAGTTTGTGACCCATAAAATCAGCGACACGCGACAAAACATAAACTCGGTTTCATTTTCCATTTTGCGCAACACCGGCAAATCTGCGAAACAACAAGGCCAATGAAACGCAACCGTTCAGGTGGAGGAAAATTACCCAGAATAGGCCTATAGAGTGAGGTAGTGGTATTGAACCCCGGGCAGATCTTCGGCAGGTAATACGCTTTGAATTGTTCGAGCAGAAAGCTGAAGCATCGATGATGGTACGCGGATTTGTCCTGCCATTCCAGCTTGATCACGGTGTGAACCATATGATCTAGTAACGACTCCAAATAAAACCTGCAAGCAATTATCGGTAAATTGATGAAAATTTGCGCCGCACTAAACCTGCTTACCTGCCGGGGTGATCTGGCGCCTTTTCGCCGCTGGAAGGTGGTAGAATAGGCAACATTTCCGGAGCACTAATCGGGTGTTGGTTATCATGAAACACACTTGCAGTCGTATGAGACGCCACAATCAGTTGATTATGGAAGCCGGGAACCAGAGAGGCAAACATTTTATGCACGTATTCAGGAGCATTCTCGTTCAGCGCTTGGTACCTGGAAATTTCAAATCAATCAAGTTGCACCATAAAATCCTTCGTCTGAAAAATATGTCCATTGAATTCTACCGCAGACTCATGGGGTGAACACAGGATGATCATTTTCATCTTCTCCACCACAAATCTGGGGTTTACACCAGCTTTTTCGTCCCATTAGATCTTTTTCAGCCTCTTTTGATGATGGAAAATTTCTCACTGCTTTTTCTCTCGCAGTCAATTGAAAATTTCGTATTACATCCTATTTAGGGCTTTTACTAGTTGATTTTTAATTGGAAAAACAACTTCTTAGCCACACTCAATGTTTGCAATTACTTCCCTGCAGTGGCACGGAAAGAAACTTGAGAATTCCTTTTTTCGATCGTCTCCGTCTGTAAGAATTTGGCCTAACATTTCACTAGAATCTTCAACGAAGTCTTCGCTTTGAACGCGCCTGAATCATATTTATTAAATCCAATAAATCATGTAGGTACTTCATAAAAACTGGTTATTTTAGTATTCACTTTTATTAAACATTAGCAGTGATTTTCACCCTCACGAAGATTAATCCGGCGTGGAACATGAAAAAAATAATTTTTTCGAATATTTTATCTCAACTCTGAGGCCCAGTTTTTCACCCCAGGAATCTGTAGCGAGATTTAAAGAATCCAAATTGCTTGATACTTCAGGTACTGAAAGGTATCAATAATTGAAGCAATGCGTTCATATAAATTGGTCGCCTACCACATGAGAAAGTACTTAATTCCAAGTCTTCTTAGGCGCATAGAGTTGCCTGTATGCAGCAGTTTGGCCAACATTCGGCCCAGCGAATGCAACTGCCATCTTCTATGGATGAGTTCCGGCAACAGGCAGATCACTTGCTCTAAAATCCACAGAGTGCAATCGAGCTCTTCCTTATGAGCCTTGTGGACTAGAAATTAAATCAATCAGTGGACTTATTGAATGCCCCCAGTCAGATGGTTAGTATTGCAGCATGCCAGAGTTAAAAGAAGAAAATACTGTAGGAAAATTTGCTGGCTTCCGGGTTATTTAAGGCGACAAGTGACGAAGCGCAACACAGAAAGCATTGTACCATATTTAACACTAAAAGGAACCTTGCAATTGAACAAGTTGTTGTCTTAGTAGTGGCCAACAACAGTTTTGCGAACAAAACAACAGGCTGCTAAGGCGAACGTGGGGGGCTAAAAATAATGCAATACTCATTAATCAATGAAGCAGTTTTCATTCGATCAATACTACAGATATTTCCCGAAGTGAGCCCCACCGAAATTGTTTTTAATTACTGTATTTTCCTCAAACTACTTCAAACACCAAACCATGCTGAATGTTGGCTACAGAAACAGTTTTTGATAGAAACCAAACTTACCCAAATGAAAAGACAGTTCTGAAAGCCCAAGAAGAAAAAAGGATGAATTAATTGGATATATTTACAGTGAACTAAATTTGTATTTGATACCCAACACCAAAAGTTGTGTTCAATTGAATCACACCTGATAATTAATGCCTGCTTAAATTATCCACTGTACAGTTTCATTAGCGTTGATACTCTAATTAGAAGCTTAAATAATTTTTTGTGCGATTCTTTGAAGCCTGATTATCTTGGAATGTATTCAAATTGCTGTAGTTTTCCTATTAGGTAGAGGAAAACCATTCGATCGCATTTAAACGACGATCTGATAAGGGCAAATTTCAAAAATTACCTCTCTGACGGAGATTCGTTTCCATTTGAAGGAAACTATCATAGAGAATGCTATAGATGTGGCTGAAATTGGCTTCGAAGAGCCCCTTGGCCTCTGCGGTATCCACATTATCTGCAACCCAATGTGCCCCCGTGACAACCATAGTTTTAAGACTCAGTCACTTACCCAATATTAATTTCAAATGCTTTATTCGAGTAGGAACGTCCTTTTTGGGGTCTTGTAGCTTCGCAGTGGATTTCTTGATGTCGACCAGACTTTTCTTGCTGAACATGATGGGAAAACACTATCAGCACCAGCTAAACGGAACAGTGGCATGGACGCTCGCACGTATAACTAGTTTGAACCATTTTCGAATCCAGAACACTTCTGAATCACCTACATTTTAATTAAAACAGTTTTTTTAGTCAGGTTTTCGTTGACATTTAGAAAATCCACAAAAACACTAATTGACATTGACATTATTTTGTGGTTAGCTTCAGATTATAAACACAGAACATACCCCCTGGGGGGATATTTTGTGATTATAAACTTTTTCCGATGGGTATTTCCCCCTCCCCAGGTGTTAATATTCTTTAATGATATGTTTAATGGTTTGATTTAAGTTTGAATGGTTAATTTAGCAGCTTGATGGTTCGAGATTGAGGGATGAATGTGCACCCGGAATACACTGGGGAGAAATTTACAAAAAGAAAATGTGAGTGACCACACTGTGAAAGTGAGATGGAAGAACAGGCAGCAACGGTTAAAGAGTTCTCGAAGAATTAAATGAAAGTTGACGAGAAAACCAGAGGAAAATGAACTAAAACGTAATTTTTTATGTCCAAAAAACTGGTTTTTGCTTGAATAAAAGTTTTTGAAATTTTCGCGCTTCTAAGAACTGTTTTCTTTAACAATTTGAAAGAAAAAGCAAGTATAATTTTCCTAATGCAATTTTAATTGAACTAAAGCTTCAGAGTTTGGTGATGACAACTAATTAAATTTGTATGTATGTGTTTTCCACTTTTTTAGCCCAAACATACCTAATAAGTAAAATTTTCTTATTATGCATTCTGAAGAAATTTCTATTTTTTAATTTTTATAGCAAAATAAAGCCAGCAGTTTTTCCGCAGAAAAGATGGTCAAGCGTTAAAAAAACTGCTTGTTTACTAATGCAAGTTTTTAATTTAAAACTAGCTGGTATGTTTGGCTGAATAATATTTAACTCCGCCCACTTTGGAAGCCCGAGCGTATTTTGCCAGTAACGCATTCACATCCAGCTTGTTGGTGGCCAGTCGTCTGGAACAAAAACAACCAAACTCAATTAACAAAAACGTTTTCGATCATTTCACGTACTTGATATATGGAGCGATTTCTGCAACCGTCCACTTGTCCTTGGCTTCGAAAAGCATATGGAGACGCTCATTAATATCGTCCGGCAGAAGGGCCTCCTCGAACTCCCAGATCACTTTGGGACTGGATTTTCTGTTTATAATAGCGATTCCGTACAGCATTTCCTCGTTGGTAACTATTCCTTCTGGGACCGACTCTTGCCAGGCCTGCAAGAACTCCTCCAAGTTAAATTTGGCCGCTGACCGCAAAATCGCCCTGGCAAAGATCTGGCAGACCTCTTGCGGTTTGTACTTAAACAGCCGCGCGCCATCAATGATCCGAAACTCCGATGTGTACTTTTTAAATAAGGCTTCTATAATCGCTTCCGGTACAATTTCCTTTAGGGAATCACACGTAACATCATAGTCAACAGTGGAAATCGTCCAGGAGTTTTCATCGATTATTTTCAACATATACGACAGCACCCTGAAGTGATAGTCAAACTCCAGCTCTCGAACGAATCCTTCAATCTCGATAACGTCCATAGAATCCAAAGCTTCCAGTAGTTCAGCATCGGAGGCTTGAACTACATTTTTCAGCTGCTGCATTGTATACAGTTGATCAGGATCGACGTGCCTTTCATACTCAGGCCCTTTGTACACGCTGTTCTTAAGCATTTCAGAAAGTCTGTGCAATGAGCACTTTCCAACCTGAGCCTCCAGGTATATTTGGAAAATGCCACAAACCTCTATAGATTCCACACGCTCTTCAGTTTGGGTTTTCAACTCTTCAAACATAGTGGCCGGCTTCACCAGCAGCATATTATTCGAGGTCTCAGAACTGGTCACATGGAACGTTGTGGTGTCTGAGCAGATCACCAAGTCATCGTTGTTGCATCCTTTAATAACAAGAGGCTCATGGTTTTCTACGCATTTAAGCAGCTCATTGCTCAACTGCAAGAAACAGAAGGAGTTATCGTGGACATTGGAACGCGAGAAATAGAGTGCTTGCGATGTCGGTAGGAGGTCGTCTTTGGAAAGTTTGGCAAAGTTCAAAATCTCCTCAGCCTCTTTAGGGGTCCTCCTGAAAATTTTAACTGTTCAACTGCCACGATTTATACAGAGTAGAATGCAAAGCTTGGTACTTACTTGGTATCAATATCCATAAAGAATAGCTTTAATTTAAAGCAGTTCTTCTTGGATGACCCTTTATGCAATCCGCCAGAGCATTTGCAAGAGAATCCTTTCAGCGGCTTGGGATTACAAGCTACATTGGGATTAAGTAAAGAAGTTTAGAATTTTGTTGATTTAGATTTGAGTATGATTCTGCATACATTCTCATTAATTTGTTGTGGATGAGTGCATTTTAATAATATTTTTGGCGTGATGAGAAGTCAACGGGAAAGAATGGAAGTGGAAGACAGTTGATTTTTCGCAAATTTTAATTAATTCACTTGTGGTTTTCCGAATTCGGATAATATTGATTTGGGGTGAAAGCTCACAATTAATAACGTCTCTATGCAGGCTGTTTGTAAAATGCCTGTAGAAAATCCTGTCTGATCCCTCGGATAGAAACATGGTCAATCAATTTTCAAAAAAGAGCAGTTTTTGCAATACGGGGCGCTAAAGTTAGGATTAACAAATCGAAAGATCTCGAATCTTTTAGGTATAGATTGAAAAGTTCCCATGCAAGTTTAAGATTGTTAAATCTGCTCAACATTTTTATTTATTCAGGTGTTACAGGTACAGATCATAATCTAGGGGATCGTTATTTAATGAGTTATTGCTAATATTTGCTATTGCTTAGTTACTGCTTACATTTAGTATAAATCAAAGCAAGCGAATGAAAACCTACACGAAAGCAAGGAGAAGCTACAAAAAAATTAAGCAAAAAGTAGAGAAAATAATAAAGACACTCACCGGAAAGTAGTAGCGTTAGGCATAGAGAAAATAAAATAATTTTACTTACTGTATGTTGTTAAGTGGCAGCTGCTTTAAAAGCACATATAAAAGTCCAATAATATTCAAACAAATTCAAATTACAAACGCCAAACTCGGAGGTTAGATCGGCTTGTTTACAAATTTGTCTTTATCTACAGGGTTGCCAGGTCTACAGTTTTAACAGTTCTTGGTCTGGCAACGCTGTTTATATATGCATTTGTATAGTTTGGTAATCTGTGTTGTATTCTTAACCCCACTTATTGGAACCAGTGAGTTAGTTTGTATTTAATATGTATAATTATTTATTTTCTTTAATAATAATATAATTGTGTAGTATATTAAGTCTGTGATTTAGCCTGTATTCATCTAGTGAGTTCTGTATACCTATAAGAGCATGGAAGATCTGCTGGTTACCAAAAGTTGTAAATATTGCAACCAAAACCTAGTGCCCTGTATGGACGAGGGGCTTCAATGCAGTGCCTGTCAGCAAAGCGTTCATGCTCGATGTATCAAAAGGGGCTCCGTTCCAGGCGGACTGGCGGGCGACCTATTTTTCACATACACATGCCAAGAGTGTTCGGACACGAGCACCGAGAAATTTGAGCGGGAGTCCATTTCCTGGTAAGCAGACAGAATACCATTTGGGAATTTCATACTGATTACATCTGGTTCAGGTTGCAGGCCATTGTGCTGTCGCTTTATCACCTGCAGGTAAAAAGTGGAGGACTAGCCAGAAACGGCTTTTTTCATTGGCGACATCACATAGTGTCTTTTATAGACCGGAATTGGAATATCCTGTTTCCCAATGAGAAGCAAAGGCGTAAGAGATGGGTTGGGACGGTCTCCGGCCGCCTCTCTCACTACAGTTGCTACTTTTTTCTATCTGGGAGTAAAACGGTCTTCAACAAGCCCGCTTGGTGGACTTTGATGTATCCCAAGATCACTCCGTTGGTTATTGCCAGTATTTGTAAGTCTATTATGTGTGTTGTGTGTGTGTGAATTGTTGATAAGATCGTCTGGAAATGTAGGTTTTTATAGATAGTACCTTTATTCTATCACACGTGATTAAGGAGCACCAACCTACTAGAAGAAGTTTGCAATTTGCATTTGCAGATCAAAATGTTTTGATTTTTATGTATTGTTGCGTCCAGACCTAACGAGCCGAGCCTGAGCCGCGGCCAATTCCCTTGAAATTTTGTCAAAACTGACGAAACATCAAAGGAATTTTGCCGCAGCTCAGGCTTGGTTCCTTAGGTCTGGACGCACCATAAGAACCCCTTTAAAGAGCATTTTGTGAGCTAAAATTTGGTGCAAATGTAATGCAGAACAACCTCACGTGTCTGAAGTTCAAAAATGTATCCCTACTTTCGAAACCCTGGAAAACCTCTTATCTGTCCGAAGGACCATATTGGGTCGTATATTCTTTTTCATTTATTTATTATTATTGAGAAACAATTAGACCTTTGAGTAGTTTTTTTTTTCGTCTAGGGCGTTTTCGTCGTCCATCATCAAAATGTGCCAATCAAATTTTTTTTTAATTCACTGCAAAGCTAAACGCTCAATTGCAACTTTAGTATATTGTGAAATAACTTTCGAGCTTCGTTCAGGAGCTTCTTCATTCTAATAAGGAATTTTATTTGTTTTTATACCGATTTCGTTTGTTCACAGACAACGTTTTAAACATTGAAAAGCAACGTTCGAAACTAAAGAATGAAAAAAGACTGATTTCTGATCAAGAACAGTTCAAGGCGTTGTTAGTTCAGTACATTCACGATGCAAATTTGACTGAAACCGTTGATCTATCAAGCAACGACAATATTCAATTTGAAAATATTGCGTCAGTGGAAGCGGATTTGGAGAAAAAAGTATGTTGTTTCAATTTAGAATTAACGCAACGGTTTTATATAACTAAGCTTGATCATTTCAGAAGTCAAAGGCACTGAAGAGGAAAAACATTCTGCCGGATTACTCCCAAGATTCCAAAAAGTAAGTTGAAACATGGCTTGGATTTAATCGAAATGGAACTACAATCCTCTCAGTTTAACTTTTGCGTTGAAACACCTCGATGAATATGCGCTCTTAATTTAACAGTGATTTTATATGAAATTTGCTAAGCTGCATAGAAAACGTCGATAATTCCGAAAATCCAATAGAAATTAAAAAAATAAACGTCAAAACCCAACTGCGCTAAGATGCTAGTGGAACAGCAAAAAGTGTTTGCTTTCTTTTGCGTTTCTTTGTTGCAATAATCAATCATTTCAGTTTCTGTCCCAACAAACTTCACACTTTCACAAATTTCCAGGCTTATTAAACTCGCCAAAAAAAGTTCATCGCTTACATTCAAAGAAGAGCCAACACTTGCAAGCCATACGTTTCCACAAGTGACCAAACCTCAGCCCGAAGATGTGAAACTTAAAGAGCCTGTAAGACTGCTAGATCCCATGTGCCATTACAACACCTCATTGAATAGTAAGTGTTTCAGTTCGTTGATGTTTAGAGGCTTTATTGAATTGTTGTAGACGTCGCTCGAATGAAGGGGTTGAAACTGACCGTAAAACTCACGGGAGGAGTGAGGAAGGAAATGATTTTATCGCCCTACAGCGGCATTTACTTAAAGCCCTTTATCCGTAGGGATAAGGAAACATTTCCTCATTGGTGAGCAGCCAGATCTGTTTGCAGTTTATTGGAGAACTAAATGATTTTGTTTAGGCTAAAAATATTAGCTGAACTTCAAATCGTGGCAAACAAAAACAATCCAGAATTCGTCCTCCCGCCTCGCGCTTGTCTGGACTATACTTATGTGCAGCCGGAACTCATTCCCGCCATCAACAGTCTTTGCAATCAATTTTTTTGGCCCGGAATAGACAGTAACTTTGCCTGATTTTGCTGCAATTTAACATTAACATATTACATGTTTTAGTGACTGATTCTCTGCAATGTCCGGACTATAGTTGTGTGGTTTTATACAAGCGTCTCGTCGTAGGGTTCGCATTTTTAGTTCCCGATGTGAAACACACAGAAAACTATATATCTTTTGTCTTTACAAGACCCGGATGGAGAAACTGCGGAATTGGCAAATTTATGATCTACCACCTGATACAGGTATGGAATTACGAGAGGCTAATGGTTGATAATTGATGAATTCCCACTTGCAGACCAGCTTAGGAAAGGACATAACCCTGCACGTGTCCATAACCAATCCAGCGCTATTTCTCTACCAGAAGTTCGGCTTTAAAGTTGAAAATGTGATTTTGGATTTCTATGATAAATATTTCAGGGACGATGTGAAGGATACAAAGCATGCGTTTTTGTGCCGATTGGAGCGGTAGTTTTACATAAAATAATTCAACTATTGTTTAGTTTATTTACTTATCTAAAAGTGAACTATCTAGAAGATTTATACCCTGCATCTCCTATTTCCCTTATTGTAATTTGTTTAGTTTTACAGAACTATCAAGGTAGACTTTGAGACAAAAATTAGCTAATTTCATAGATCTCTGCTAATAAAAATATGTACAAAATTAAAAATGAATAGGTCATTTAGAAACGCATTTTTGGCCCCTAAATCTAGGTTTTCTAATTCAGCCTAAATAGATGCTTTCTAAACGATCCTTCGTCTTTTGCCCGTTGCAGGAGTTATTGTCACCGGACTAGACTTTCCACTTGACCCAGAGTCATCGTTTGATTTCAAGCTCCCTGAAAAAAGTCTAATTATTTTCTGAGCTACATTATGAAAGATTATATTACCTCTAGTTCTCTTGGTAAGCTTGGGGGTGTCATCACTCCTGCTTTTTCCTTCCTTGGGCGTGCCAGGATTTCTCCCTTTTCCTAATTGCTTTCCCACTTTCTCTGTGTCTTTCTTCGCCTCCTTTTTACTGCTCAACGACTTATTGCTGTCTTTACTGTCTCTTCTGGGAGTATCGTCCTTTGGTTGTTTCACCGAACCTTTGTCTTCTTTCTTCGCTTCTTTGGTAGACAATTTTGGTGTTTCTGTTGTGCCCTTCTTCTCCTCATCCTCTTTCTTCACCAATAGTTCTCCGAATTCTGATTGGGGCAAAGTGAACTCCTTCTCTTTATTCGGAAATGGTATCGTCTCGTTTTCATCCAGCGCTTCTAGGTTATACATGGTTTCTAAGTGAGCCCAAACTTTTTGCGGGTTCACGTCTTTGCGCAAATTATCGGCAAATTTGTCGCAGATGAGGGCCATTTGAAAGTACTTGTTCACTCCTGGAAAATGGAAAAGTATTCTAGCTGTGGGTTTGGTTGATAAAACACGTTATTACCGACTGGTTTGTGGCCCACCATTGCGTCTAACAGTTGGCCCTCGTTTACGACTGTCCATTCTATATCTTCCATAGGATTAATTGCCGGATAATTGCAAAGCTCTTCTTAGCGCTAAATATAAATTAAATGCTTGTTATTGTTTAGACCAGAGACAAGTACTTGTCTCTGGTTTAGACATTCGACAATAATAGTGTCAAGGACTGACAGATTTGACATTGTCACCAGATACTTGTCAACTGTTTAAATGGTCGTCTTGAAGTGAATTAGACCAATAAAACAAAGACAACGTTCTTTATCTATTTTTTTTTATTTTCTTTATAACGGAAGAAGTTCGGGGTTAAATGTACAGTACAATATTTCTTTCTCGGATAGTGGAAGTTTTTTAAAACGTGGCTCAATTAATTGGGTTTTTCCCATGAGAATATGCCTCGTGTAAGATTAGCCACCCTTCGATAAAATTATTAAAATTTTGTCCTTAATTTAAGCAATAAACTGCAGCATCTTTCAGTTTTTGAACAGCCAAAGATATCGAAACTAAAAATGTTTATTATAAAATGGTCACATGTTTTTCTATCTCACTTTAGTGTAGTTTTAGGATCCGCTCAATTCCACGTCGAACCGCAGACACAAGAATAGCACCACATTCGACATGCTTGACACCGTGACAATGACATCCATTCAAATAATACCCAAAGAGTTGTTTGGTAATCTGTAGAATGTTCGTTAACAGTTTGGCATTGTTTTGCATTCGAATAGTCGTCGATTTTGTTAGTAAACAGTGATTTTTGCAAGAAGTAATGCCACCAACAACTGGCGAAGAAGCAGCCTCACAGAGTGCTGCAATGGATAAGTCGATGTCTGATAGTGAAGAGTCTTTGCTTGCAGATGAAGATGGAATGTTTGTTGATGGCATTTATATCCCTCCAGCGCAACCCCCGACGCTTTCCATGGACCCAACGGGGCCACGGTTGATAATAACGCAAATCGAGAACCACTTTTTCAAGAGTTATGCTGAGAACGAGGTGCTGGGCCCTTTTCACAAGGTGATACTGCTTTCTATGTTTTAGCAATAGGTTTTTAGCAAGAAAATGTTTTCAGTGCTTCAACGCAATTGTGGGGCCCAATGGAAGCGGCAAGAGCAACGTTATCGATTCCTTGCTCTTTGTGTTTGGCTACAAAGCCAGCAAAATTCGATGCAAAAAGGTTTCAGTGCTGCTTCACAACTCTGATCAATTCCAAAATGTGCAATCCTGCACTGTTGCGATTCATTTTGCCGAAATTATCGACACAGAAGGCGATGGCTACGATGTTGTGCCGGGCAGTGAGTTTGTGGTCTCCAGAACTGCTAACAAGGATAACTCTTCATTTTATCAACTCAACCATACACGTGTGCAGTTTAAAGACATTGCGATGCTACTGAAGAAGCATGGTATTGATTTAGAACACAACAGGTTTTTGATTCTGCAAGGAGAAGTCGAACAGCTGGCCATGATGAAGTGCAAAGGTGAAAAAGAGGGAGAAACTGGAATGCTGGAGTATCTTGAAGATATAATCGGAACCTCTAGATATAAGAAGCCTCTAGATCAAGTCTTTGAAAGGACGGAAATCCTGTCGGAGAAAACTACGGAAAAACTGAACAGACTCAAACTGGTCCAAAAGGAAATGGACGAATTAAAAGAACCAATGGAAGAGGCGGTTAAGTTCCTCAAAACGGAAAACACCATTGTGAGAACTAAAAATTTAATCTTTCAAAAAAATCTGAAAAACATTAAGGAGAAGGAAGAGGTTGAGGTCGCAAACCGCGAAGAAATTGCCATTGTCCAGAAGCAGTTCGACGACCAATTGAAGACTCTAAAAGCACAGAAGCAAGAGTGCAAAGATCGGCAGGACAAAGAAGCAATGATTTATGAGAATCTCAAACATAAAAAAGAGAGCATTAAAGAGGCTTTCGATAAGGCCAACAAGAAGGATATTCTGTTACAAGCAAATATGACAAACAAAATCGAAGCCAGGAAACGAAAGAAACAGCAAATTGTAGAGGAGAAGAAGAAACTGGTCAAACTGGAAGCGGTTCCAGAAGAAAATGAAAAGGTTTGTATGATTTACATAATATTTAGAATTGTTTCCAAGTTTTGATGAAATACCCCCGGAGGAAAAGTGGGAAAATCGAATAAAATGATTTGGAAATGTCCAGGTTTGGACTGGTATGGGAGAAGCTAGAGAAGTTAGTGGCGTCCAAGTAGGGCTTGGGGATTTGAGGGAAACGTTGGATAAGCGGCGATTTTCACTTTTTTTTTCCAATACGATAAGCGTAGTAAGAAATCGGGCAACTTTTTTCATCAACGGTTTTTTTTATACAGAATGCAGACAAAACAAACCTTCTTCACATCAAAATCTGCGAAAAAGCCCGGTCGAAAAGTGCAACTTAACTCTCATAAAGTCGCTATAAGTATAAACCGCAAAAGAAAGATTCAGGCATTTATGCCTTTAGAGGTTTATATTATCCCTGTATATGTATTTGCTCCAAGTACAATTTGAATATTAATTCGATATTTTTATGGCATTTGAAACGCTCACAAGTTCACTTACAGGCTATTAATGAAGTGGAAACAAGAATGGAACAGATTTCGGTTGAAAAAGCGGAATACGACGCTCAGAAGGAAGTTTTATTAGTAAAAGTCCAGCAAGAGACTGAACCATTGCAGGCGGAAAAAGAAGTTATGCAGACAGACCTAGCGGAGCTTAAAGAAGTTGTTTATAAAGCGAATTCGGAGGTGAAAATAGGTGCTTTTGATTAAGCGGATCTGTAGGGCTAATGGTGTAAATTTCCAGTTCACCTTGGCTGAAACGGAGCTGAAACTATGCGTCGCCATGGAGGAAAAGGAACAAACCAAGCTGGCCGAACTGCAGAATTTGCTTCAGACCTCGACGGCTACGATCCAAGAGCGCACCCAACAGGTGACCGAACTGAAGAAGGCCATTCCCAGTCTGAAGAAGCAGTTAAATGAAGCCAATGTTGAGCTAGTCCAGGTCAAGCAGGAGGAAGCTAATCTTATCAACTACATTAGGTAAAACCCGGCCTAAAAGAAATTAGCTGCAAACTTCCTAACTAATCTTTCACAGGACGGAAAGAGCCACCTTGGAGGAGAGCAAAAGTTCAATGCAAGCTTCCCGATCTAGAGGTCGCGTACTAGACTCTCTGCTCAAAGCCAAAAGTGAAGGAAATTGTCCCGGTTTATTTGGGCGACTGGTAACAACAATCGGTTTAAACTAGTTCTTCAGTGCAAAGCAATAATTCGGTTTAGGGCGATTTGGGTGCGATTAACGCCAAATACGATGTGGCAGTTTCAACAGCCTGCGGCCCTTTGGATAACATCGTGGTTGATTCAGTAAACACGGCTCAATGGTGTATTGCGTTCCTTAAAACTCATGATATTGGCCGAGGGGTTTTTATCGCTCTGGACCAACAGGAACACTTATGGGATCGAGCCTCTACTCCCATTCAAACGTAAGTTTTTTTTTTTTTTGAAAAAAAAAGGATTTTAGTTCAGGAAGTAGCTCAAATTCAGCTCTTTTGCGTTGTTTTATCTATACATTTTTTATTTGGTAGCTGGAATCAACTGTTGTAGTTGTAGTGTAGTGTAGTTGATGCAGTAATCCTCTTTTGACATTTTTGCCTTCTTTGTAAAATCTTAGCGTTCATTGTTTTTGCTCAAAAAATATGACTAATTTTCTTTATTTAAAAAATAATTTGTGTAAATTCCTTTCTTAAATAAACGATAAAATGTTGAAATTGTCACATATTCTGGGACGCTCTGGATATTCTCAAGTTTTTCTAAGTTTCTCAATTATTTAGTGGATATTCTGGCGAAAAAATTAGACGAGCAGGAATGAAAACTATTAATAATTTTTTTGAGCAAAAACTGTGAATGCTAGAATTTTTTTATTATTTCTATTTACAACTGCAGCAGAACCAATACAAGTTTTTATTTTCTTTATTAATTTATCTGTTGTTGTGTTAGAATCCTGTATTTATATTGTTTCTCTCCAGGCCATTGTGCCTGCAATTTTATTTAATTTATTCTAGTATTCGGTAATTTTCCTTCAGTTTTCAACTTAATTATTGCAACCAAAATTGTTCAGTGATCAGCTAAGGAATGTTTTATTGTATGCGCTATATTTTCTACTGTTTTTACTTTTGTTTCACCGCTTTGTCCCTAACATGTGTCCGAATGTTTGTGTATTGCAAGAGTTTGCATTTGAATTCTTACTTTTTGTGTTTTACAGGCCAGAAAATGTGCACCGACTTTACGATCTAATTAAAGTGCCAGACGAGCGAGTGAAAACCGCCTTTTACTACGCTTTGCGAGACACTTTGGTGGCCAAAGATCTCGAGCAAGCGTCCAGGATCGCGTATGGAGCTCGAAGATACCGAGTGGTAACTTTGAACGGAGATCTAATTGAAACTTCCGGTATAAATGAAGGTTTTGTTTCATCCCACTAAGCTGATTGGTTGTCTTCTCTCCAGGTACCATGAGTGGAGGTGGCACGAGAGTGTCTCGAGGTAGAATGGGCCAATCGGTGGCGGTTTCCAACATCAATCCCAAAGATCTGGAAAATCTGGAAAAGGATATTAAACAAATGGAGATTAACGTTGCAGCGTTGAGAGAACGACAGACTGCTTTAGAGGCCCTGATTGGCGAGCTGCAGCCCAAGCTGCGCGCCGCGCAAACTGACCTGGAAAAATACACTCAGGAGCTGCAGGCACGTATATCTTTTAAACTGTTTCCCACTCTCCTTGAACAGGGCTTGTCAATTTCAGAGCCTTAAACAACAATGTCCGAGTCTGCGTAGTAAACTTGCAGAGCAAGAAGTGCGGGCCAAAAAGACCAAAGCAGACGCGCACCAAGTAAAGAAACTGACGAGTGTCGTCGAAAAGCGCAAAGCTGAGGTCGACGCCGCAACAGAAACGGCCAATCAATTGCAAACGAAAGTTGATAAGCTGTCCAAGAAAATTGCCGAGAAAAGTACCGATAAAATTAAACCGCTGGACAAGAAAATTAAAGATCGTGTTGCAAGCATGGAGTTGTGTAGATCGCAGATTACCAAGCTGAGAGTGGCCGTTCGAACGGCAGAGAGGTGAGCACAAACAGGGAAACATCGTTGACGAGATTGATTACTTTCAATTTTGCTCGGTTCTAGAAACTATATTACCACCAAGGAAAATATTGCGCTCATGGAAGAAGAGGTGGGAGAAATGGAAAACAGCCTGCGCATCATGAAGCAAGAACGGCAGGAAATCGAGGAAGATGCCAACAAGCTACTCAAATGCGTTGAGGAAATCACAGAGCAGTTGGCTGAAAGGGAATCAGTTTTTACAGGTAGTTTTCACAGAAGCTGCGCCTTGATGGATCTCGTTAAATTATCACCTGCACATATATTTTCAGAGGCCAGACAAGAAATGGATGCCATAACGAAGGAGGAAACGAAACTAAAATCCGAAAAAATTGATGTTGATGAGAAGATTAGAGTTTTCGACAAGAAATTGAAAGAATATAATGCCATCGTTAATTCACTAAGGCACAAGGTAAGCTACGGTTTGATCGAAGAGGAAGGTTTAAGTCCGAAGGATCCGAAGAAATTAGGTTTGTTCTTAACTTCTAAAAGGTGAACGCAGAATTACATATTCATTCATATCGCGGAAGCGGTTGAAACTAACTGAATAACTGAAACAGGAAAAACTATCCAAATTTAAGGGCCGCTGAAGTGACAGAGTTTATTTAACTGTTAAAAAAAATGTGCAAAAACATAACGCATTATCTTCACACAAAAAACCAATATAATCTCTTCAGAAAAGCGCCTCGGAAAACTGTTCTTCCTTATTTGGGTTTTCTCAAAAATTAGTCTTAATTAATTATAAATGTTAGTCTTTAAGGAGCCCTTGAATGAACTTGAAGTTTCTATCTCAGCAACGGTTTAAATATCGAGGTAATCATTACGACTTTTTTAAAGCTTCCGTGCATCAGTGCAGTGTAAGGTTTCAAGCAAACCACCTCTGAAGATGCAAGCCACTCGTGCCTGCGAAACGTCAAGATGAAATTCTATTGCACGAGGGTCTAAAAACCCGAAAAACTCACCAGTTTCATTTCCATACGGTTCGAAAGTCATCTTTTAAGCATTAAGGCTGAACAAAATATTTTAGGTGGCATTTTTCGTCTTGCAAGTTCCCCAGTTCCCAAGTTATTCCAAAGTCATGCTCTCAGCGTGGCGAAAAAACGTAAAAAGTTTTGTAAATTTAATAAAATTCTTCAAAAGCGCCGCTTCAGACACAAGATGAGTCTTTTTGAGTTTTTTTACATTTTTATGCGAGTTTTTTCAATAGGATATTTCCTTATCGTGCTCTTCTAAAAATTGCAAATCTCTTCAGGTTTTATTTAAATACATTCATCTGCTTGATAAATATTGACGTTATTTTGGGGTTTTAGCTGAATAATTTAAAGCTGCAACCGATCATCAACGAACCTGAAGAAGCACTGGAACAGTTCAGCGACGAGAAACTGGACGCTGAAGACTTGCAAGCAGCAGAAAAGAAACTGGAATCGGCAGAAAATTATTTGAAAGCTGCTAAACCCAACCTGACTGCCATCCAAGTGAGTTAATGTGGTTTACTGTGTGTGAATTTGGTTTCTTATTGATGATGGACTGTTTTAGGAGTATCGTAAAAAACAGGTAATCTACACCGAACGCGCCAAAGAATTGGAGATAATCACTACTAAACGTGCCGAGATGCGGAAACTGTACGACGACTTGAGGAGTAGAAGGAAGAATGAGTTTATTACTGGTTAGTGTTGCTGTGTCTTCTCCAGTTTGGAGGTATGAGTAATTTTTTGGTAGGTTTTAGCATAATCAAAGGGAAGCTTAAGGAGATGTACCAGATGATTACTATAGGAGGGAGTGCGGAACTGGAAATGGTCGATTCATACGATCCATTTATTGAGGGAATTCAATTCAAGTAAGCAGCTTATTGGGGGGGAGATTGGTGCTTCTAATATCAATGTACCGAATGATTCTAGTGTGCGGCCTCCAAAGAAAACGTGGAAAAAAATATTCAATCTATCCGGTGGTGAGAAAACCTTGTCCTCATTAGCGCTGCTTTTCGCGCTACATTACTACAAGCCGTCACCTCTGTATATAATGGACGAAATTGATGCCGCTCTGGACTTCAAGAACGTTTCCATAGTGGGCAATTACATTAAGGTAAGCTAGAGCTTCATCCCGAATGTACCTAATTTTGCGGCCAATCTAGGACCGAACGAAAAATGCGCAGTTCATCATCATTTCCCTTCGTTCCAATATGTTCGAGTTGTGTGACAATCTCCTGGGCATCTACAAGACGTTCAATACTACGAAATCGATAACGATAAACCCGAAATGGTACGATGGTGAACCTGCTGAACAAGAACCACGTAAGCTTGGAAACTTTATTTTTGTCAGTGTATATTAATTGTTTAATGATATTATTTTTTAGCAGTAGAAGGGCAAAGTGACCAAAACGAGGCACTTGGAAGAAACGAAGTGGGTGTGGAAAGCAACAATGCCTCTCAGGAAAATGGCAATGATTCATCCGAAGGTACTTATGGAATTAAATTGAAATATTAAGTTCAAAGATTCATTAGTCTCTTGTTCATTTGTAAAGTGGTAAGTGGTTGGACATTAATCAAATACATTCTATTTATATTTTTTGTAAGTTTATCAATCAGCTTGGGCATTTTCCAATGTAAACGTCCATTGACTGCTAGTAGGCGAATATTCGATAACTCGCCAATGAAAGCCCTGTATATTCAGTTTTCTGAAAAAGTTAGACGGAATTTCTTAAAGTTTGCTAAAGAAATAATCAACATTTCATTAAGTCGTTTTTGGGTTGGCTAGTTTATTATAGAGGGTGATTTAAAATTGACCTCATTTTTATGAACTGAACTTGTAGGGAGTACAGAAAAACAGCCTAAAGAGAAAATACGTGCTTTAAACGTAAAATAGTGGCGCTACCGCTGGAAACAAAGGCGCAAAATGAAAAACGAGACTTGAACTTTTGCATAGATATCTCTCAAAACGTTGGAAATTTCGCAAGATTTGTTATTAGTTTAGATTAATTTTCCTAGCGACTTGGGCAAGTTTTGATTACAGACGCACTTTGTGTAATTGTAAATATTTTTTGAATATGCGCGCTTAGTATAATTTGGGGCAAATAATTCCGGTTAAGCGTAAACTTCCCTTACTCTATCGTTGGGACACCCTGTGCAGGTCCCATACCTTTAATCATGTAACTGGAAAATATTAATATTAACTTGACAAATAATGTTTTTATGTAAATGTTTTATTAAAACTGCAACCAAAATGAATATTTTTCGCTTTAAAATGCAAGATATTTACTCTGATGAAATTTTATCATTTATTAGGAAGCCAAGTCGATTCTGCGGAAGACCGAATGGAAGGCTCCGATAGAACTTTACCTGAAACTCCTGACCAGTCATGTAGCTCGGGGGATATGAACTAGCCTGATTGGAAGGAATTATTATATTATATGTATATAATATATTGCTTATTTTTATTGGTTTGTTTGGGTTGAAATGCAAAGAGGCGCAATTTCTATACTAGTTTCTAATTAATTATTTAATGTTTATTGCTTCGAGCGATTTGGTTTCTGTTTGAGGCGTTGTTGAGCCCCATTTTTTATTGTTAGTCGAATTAAGCACCTCGGATAAATTTTCTACAGGACGGCAAGTGAAAAAATCCAAAGATGGGCATGCTCCTAGTTGGTCAAAAAAGGGTTATTTGGATCGCATCACCAAAAGATAAACCAAATAGCTCTAGGTTGTTTTATTTTGATGTGTTCTATTTACAGGGTGGTCTCAACAGAAATCAATTCGCTCTCTGCAGTCACAATTTTCCAGTTATATAAAAAATGTAAAAAATATTCCAAAGTTTGTCCAAATTTGTCAGTGTAACGTTGATTTCTTTGAACAACTTATTTTTGAAAATTTAAATCACCCGCGCTTTAAACCGGACCTCGACTCGTTCCGACTGAGCCGAAGACACCCGATCGACATAGTTAAAAAAACTCGCTTTTTGCTCCGATATCCTCCATTGGCGTCGAACTTTTGAGCCCAAAACCGTTATTGCCATTAAATTGAGGTCAAAAAAGTTAAATTTGGGGCACTCTAAGCGGGATTAAGTCGATAAATCGCAAGTCTATCAATGCCAAAAAGTTGGCATTGGACAATTTCAACTTCATCTGTCTGTCGCTACTTCAACTGTTTAAAGTTGCTTCTAAACAAAGTTCCAAACCGTCTCTCAGCAGTACCGTTCGCGATGAATTTCGATCCGAATATCGAAAATATGAATCAGAACTACAACAGTTTGTTCACAACTAGTGGGGGATACCCAGGAAATAGCAGCAGCGAGGATAACGACTCCGGATCAGAACACGATGACGGCCTGAGACAAGTTAGATACGATGTAAGTGATTAAAATGGTGGATGGTGTTAAAATTATGTATTCTTGCATACTAATGTGAGCGTCTTCCTGATTTGGTTTCTCATCAGAAAATGTACTTAAAGCTCAACATGTACGGTAAAGACGCCGCAAGCAAATCGGTTAATATTTTGCGATTTGAACGAATCTCTTAAACTATGTTTCTCTCCCTCAAATAAATGCGAACAAGAAAGGACAGACATTGACAGGCCACCAGATTTATTCACTCAATACTGAAATGATTTAAGGTTAGCTACCATTATCAAAAAACTAGTTTAAGGCAGCAGTTTTGAAAAATGATTGAATTTTAACGTTCTTATTCGCAATAACGCCACAGTTTTGTTTCGATTTGCAACCTTTATATTACTACTTTCTCACATTGGTGGCCGCTATATTCAGTTGTTTGATTGCAGACGTTATAAAGGTAAGTTGCTATTTACAAGTTGGCTTAAGTATCTTCCCCTTTAGATTACACCAACATACATTGTAGACTTCAACGCCTCGAGCATGCTTTACTACATTAAATTACATGCGGAGCCCTAACAGGCAGCGCGCAGACGCTTAAGTACTACGCATTCCTAGCGCTTTGCTCTAGGAGGCTCGCATTTGCATATAACAGTATCTACCCTATATCTATCCAAATAAAAGTATCTATGATACTTTATTCTATCTGTACTAAAGTTGAGTGTTACGCATGTAGTATTTAATCAGTCAGTGCCGAAAAGAGCGCTCCTAGAATGATCTTTAACTGTTTATTAGTTATTAGTTCTATAGTCTGTCCCAAGCTATTTGGTAGTGATGTGAAGTTTTAAAAATAATCTTAATTTTTCAATATTGTTTCTTGCGGTAACTGTAAGCGTTAAAGTTATTATTTTCGTGGCGGCAAACCTGCAGTCAAATGATGAAGCAAATGGAAGAAAAATATCAGTTGCATACGCAACATCAGGTTCTAAGCCGTATAGACCTCGGCCTATAAGCCCTCAAAAACACTATTGAGTCCGGCTGTGAAAGCCTATATTCCTATAGTATTCTATTTAGTAGTCTTTATTTCAAACTGCACAACATGAAATGAGACATAATTTCTTTACGTTGCGGGGAATGGAGGTCACAGTTTGAGTAGATCAGAGATTCGTCCCGGAACCCAAAAAAACTGCAATAATTATTACTCGGTCTCCACTGTTTCGACTACCGGTTTTGCCGAGGACGCCCCGCATACTATTGTAAATGAAAACGCGGTAGATTAGATATTTCTTATTTTATTAAATTGAATTTACTTAAGTATTTGCAGGTTTTTAGTAATAACTGTAGAAAATATGAAATAATTTTAGTACCTACCTACTACAGTTTATCGCTGCTTTCTTGTAGACATACACAAATTCCCGCTGCTTTCTTGTAGACCCGATGCCCTTACTAAAAAAACATTCATAGTTGAGTTCCTATATGAACTCAACTATACAACATCAACAAGAAGTCGAACCAGTCTATTACAAGAAATAATTTGGAATCCGCTTTTAAGTGCCAACGGAAGACTGATTTTAAACTTTCGGAAACGGCAGAAATTCTTGAAAAAACCTCAAAGCGTGGCTGGTGCTTCACGTGGCAGCTCTTCTCAACACACTTCTACAACTGCAGGGGCGCACTTCATATTTTTGCTTCTGTCCTTTGGATGATGGAATTGCTCATGAAGCCCTAAATATGGAATATAGTTCTCGAGACGAGCTATCAGAAAGATCATTGTGGCTGTTCCGATATTATGAACCATTTTGGACTTTAAAGAAGGCGAAAATAAAGTTTAACTTGCGCACATTGGAAAAGGTTTTTACAACCGATGCGATATTTCCAGCGGTTTTACACAATCCTTTAAAAATCGACGTTAATTTGGCAGATAGCATTTCGGTTTTGATGGCACGTTTCTTTTGCGCGGCCTGGCAAATTTCTAGCGCCACGAAAACAAAAAGATATAAGCTGTCCGCTCCTGATAGCTGAGTTCCATCAAGAATTTTGTACCAGCTTTTAACACTCTGAATATGTTTTGGGCGCAGGTTCCCATTCTGCAAAACATGATGAACATCTCAAACCCGAATATGGGCATGGGTATGGGGCTGACCCCCGTTAGAAAGCGCCGGGGAAATTTACCAAAGCATGCTGTTAAAATATTAAAGCGCTGGCTCTATGAGCACAGATACAACGCCTATCCTAGCGACGCTGAAAAGCTCACTTTGTCTCAAGAAGCTGGTCTGACAGTGTTGCAGGTAAAACTGGGACATGTTGAAACTGCCGAAAAAACTTAATTATTTTGTTAGGTCTGCAATTGGTTTATTAATGCACGCAGAAGGATTCTTCCTGAAATGATCCGACGAGAAGGCCACGATCCGCTGAACTACACTATTTCTAGAAGAGGCAAAAAACTGACTGGAGCCAACATGATACCTGATCAGGGAAGAGTTGGGTAGGATTCTGCTATTAACCACTTTTTGAAATAGTGATAATCCCGTTTGCCTTTGTTAATTAGATGGGCCAATGAATATGAGCACTCGGGGGCCAAACGAATGCGACTAAACCAAGAGTATGAGGACAGTATGACCCTGTTTTACCGCTCGGAGGCGGAAGATAGTAACGACTACGAAGACTCCAGTCACAGTGAAGAGGAAAAATTCAACCCAAACTGGCAATACGGAAGCATTACAAACGAAGTTTCCAGAGTATACGATTCGGGGTACGTCACACTATACCTGCTTTGTAAATGTTGCTTATTTTTCGCGCGTTTCTGTAGCTCACAGTACAATCACCAGATCTTGCAGTCAATTGCAGGGCCGAGCCCCAAAGTGCAGGTTATGCCAGCCAATCAAATCGAACCGGGGGCACTGATGAACGATGAAGAAGACAAGGAGAAGTTCAAGTGTCTCTATTTGCTGGTCGAGACTGCGGTGGCAGTTAGACAGCGCGAGAAGGAGCAGGAAGTCTCGCAAGTACCATAAATGTGTGTGTTTGTACCAGTTTTTCAATATTAGATCGTAAGATTTGTTATCGTTTTCCATAGTTTTTTATAAATGTTATATGAAATGTGCAGCATTAAGTTGTGGAAGTTGATCTCCTTGACAAAAAGCCACGTAAACGATCTGTGCACAGGGTAATTCCATAGATTTAAACACCGAGCTCTCAAGCTTATTTTTTAAGAAACGGGCGAGTTAACAAGTGAAACGTAAAACTTGTTAATTAATCAAAAGAATTTATGCATATCAGAAATATTGCTATATAAAAGTAAGCAATCAAAAAGGAAAAAACTACTGAAAGCTCAGTTTGTAAAAAAATAGTAAAGATAAAAACGCTAATGATAAGTATTAATATTTTGCGGCCAGTAGGAAGGCAATTTAAAGCTGACGGGAATAAACAGGATAATAATGTGCTCTTTTATTATTGGGCAGCATTAGCTGTTTCTAAACAAAATTAAAATGGGTGGACAATTAATAATCCGACTAGACTATTGGTAATTTTTTAAGCATACCCCAAACACTTCTAGTATTGTATAGAATGTGACCGCTCTTCAATTCCAAGCCGATCTAAATGCAATGTTCCTTCACCCGGACTCTAAGAACCTACCAATTTGGGTTTGTCGACAAACTCCCTTCCATATCGGAAAATATAGTGCGTGGTGGCAACCATCATTCCACCCCAGAAGAGTAAATATAGCAGACACTCGGTGGAATATTCGGATGGTAGCACAGAGGAAGCTACAAACATAGCAGTGGCCACCAGTAGAACGGATGGGAAAGTAACGTATCTCCAACCAGGAGGAGGAGCAATGGGTGAAACTACTTTACCCACGCCTAGAAACAGGTCTATCGAATCCTGTCGGAAACCATCGTTGAAGTTGTTCTTGTAGTAACGAATCAACGAATTCACACCGTCCTGAAGAGCGCCTGCTTTTGTGCGCTTTCCTGAAAAAGTCGATGGTTGGAACACTTAAGATTAATTTCTAAGGCTGGATTTACCTGTGCGGGTAAAATCGGTCTTCAGAGCCCCCGTTCCCGAGTACTGAATGCTGACAAGATCAGCATGATCCGCCCAAACATTCTTATAGAGGGACTCAAACGAATACTGATGTTCCAAAGTTTGATCTTGGCTCAAAATCGCAAATCGCCTAAGCACAATTTCCAAGTTTCTATGAGCCAACATGCTTTGTACCACATTGGTTCTATCGAGGCAGTCTATGCAGTTTGTTCGGAAGACTCCTGCAACCGATCAAGCAAGTTAAGATGTTTCTGGAGGATTTACATGCGGGCAAACCTTCTTGCAGCGAGGAAAGAGTGCCGTCCCGCAAGATCAGAAAATAGCCCATTTCGTCCTGATCTAAAGACACTCTGTCGATCAATATGGACAGCCGGTACCACTTCATTTTCCGGCACTCTGCATGGAAGTCAAAAGGCTCGTATCTAACAGAAGGATGCGCCAAGAGGCTTATTGTGCCTCTAAAGGCCTTTTCTAGCAGCCCTGTAAACATGTAAGGTACCCAACAAATTCTGAGAGAAAGGGTTAATTTTCACCTTCGGATCCTAATTGGTCGACTAAATCCACCATCACCTGTCTTCCGTAAATCCCTGCCATCGATTCGATGTGTTTAAGACACGCGTTACGCTGCTCTTGCGGGTCTATGTTGTAATCGAGGGTGATGGGCGGCTTGTACCGGAGGTCGGGTTTTTGATACCAAAATAGAGGTATTGAACCTCTAATCTAGAAGTCGCTATATGGAGGAATGATTTTAGCTTTATAGATCACATTACCTGCACAAAACTAGCTCTATCGCCGTCGCCTGATTCGACGATTTGTTCGGTTTCCACGAAATTTGCAACGTTTCCCTCCTGGTCAATGCCTCGCCTGAACCATCTGGTACCAGCTCTATTAACAATTTAATGTGCGGAATATTCTTCCGGAGACGCCTGAGTGACTAACCCTAAGTGAAGCCCAATTCCTTTCATGTGAGAGTTTCAAATAGCTGTTCTTATTTGAGGTAAGCGTAGTCTTGATGATAATTTCAGTGTTTACTAGGAATATTTGATTTCAGCAATAATACACAGGATGGAAAAAGTAGAGAATAAGGTTGGAGGTCCAAAGTTGGTTAACTGAATAGTTTAATTAAAGCTGTGATTTCCGTTTTATTACATCGCAACTTAATTTTCCAAAACTCTGCTCATAACGGGAAATTGAGGCTTGAAAAAACTTGGAATGGCTATTTAATCGAAATCAAACTGCATTGTCTGAATTGGAAATAAGGTAAGATCGAGCTGTATCTCAATCAATAAATGTCCTGAATCGGATAATGCGGCAACTTGGAATTTTTCACCAAATATTGAAAGTTCATTTTAATTCATTCATCTACAGCTATTTTTTTAAATAATGCAATCTAGTTTTAGCAGTCCAGATGGAAATCGTGCATTTTTATTCTAATAAAGTACAGCTTTTGATCAAAAGCGTGTGGGAATTTTAACTTTGAACCCAATATAGAGGATGCATTACTGAATGCATAACTCAAGGCATTACTGAACGCGCAAATTGAAATCCTGCAGCCAGCGATTCAAATTTAATTAAAGTGGCTCGAGCCACTCGGATAAAATATCAAAGGACTGATCCTTTGTCGGTGTTTTGACGAATCATCAAAGCAATTTGCCGTGGATCAGGCTCGGCTCGTTAGATATGGACGCGGCATTTAGATTCTCCTGTATGATGCGAGCCTGAGCAGCCGCGGCAAAAGTCCTTTGAAATTTCGTCAAAACACCGGCAGAAAATGGATCGTCTGTCCATGTTAATTAAAGTTGACCAAGTTCATTTTAGTCTCTGATTCTCTCTTATCGATTCTGCAAATTTTCATTCTGCTGCGCAAATCTAACTGTTTTTTTAAAGAAGACCGTGCAGTCTGCTGTCTAGCGAACCACATATCTTCAGCAAAAACAGGTATCAACTTGAATTTTGGCTCAAATATAGACTATTTTTCGCCTCAACTGATTCGGCAAATTTGCCTCCTGCAGCCGTACAGGTAATAGTACTTGATTTTAGCTATAATACAATTACTGGCCGGACGATTGGAAACATTTTTCACTTTTGAATCATTGGGCTGACTTACCTGTAGATACTTCTCCTGGAAACGATGGCCCATGTGAAGTTTTGTCCATTAATCACACATTGGTTGATGGAGACAAACCCGAGCAGTAAAGGCAAAGCGAACCTTCGAAAACTAGGCGCTAGGAACGGTTCCAGAATATTCGCGTTCCATACAAATCTATAAAAATCCATGATTATGGCTAAGATACCGAAATCAATTGGTTTTGTTACCTGGCATCCGAGCGTTCAAGCAGAGATTGCTGCCAAAACTCTGGGCTGATGTCGTGCAGTCTTTGGATGGAATGCGTAATGTCGTAGCTGTAGCTAAAGTAGAAATTGGGCGTTGCCAGTACAGTTTGTACCATGCTCAAGTACACATTATTATCGGCCTGCTTCTCATTATTTAGATGTATCAAGCTTTTGGGGTAGGGAATTATTTCAGTTTTTACTAGTTTCCATATTGGGTGCCCTGCAATGTACCTAGGCAGAAAAATACCCACTTAACACTAATATTAATCCTATTTTAGAGCTTCTCTTACCCGACCAAGTCCCTTTGGGTGGCTACAACCAAATATCGGCCAGCGAGTAGATTAATAGAGCCCAACAAACCGCAGAAGTCCTGCCGAGTGCTGGCCGCTGGGATTTGGCCCGAATTTTTCTGGATAGTCACATCCTCTGACACCCTATCGATTATCAGTAATTCTTCACTGGTTTTGGGTTCTAAATAGAATTTTTCTGGAGTTATGTACCTGAAATCAGCAATGCCTGTTAACATCTAGGTACCAGCGTCATGACCAAAGGCCAGAGTACGTAATGTATCGGAGTGCCCTTTAAACCAGCCAAAGCCACTTGTCTTGTGCATGTAGTTGAGATGGGAGTTGGATAAGGTTCAAAGACAGTTAAAGGAATAGGTACTGCATAAAAAGTTACTTACAAAGTCAGGTCGTTGTACACATCGGAGATGGACATTGTTGCTTGCATTTGATCAGCAATTACCAAACGACACGTAAAAACTTAATTGTTAAACATTTTAATTTGCAACTAGCAACCGAAGGTTATTTTTATTGATGATGGCCACAGATGGTTTGTGCCACTTGTGCCAGCTGTCAGCTTTGATCAAAGTGAGGTTTGGGCACATTCAACGTTTTGTATTGTATCAATGATTTAAATATTTTTTATTTTTATTTAAATCTTTCATTAATTTTATTTTAATTTTATGATTGATATGCTTAAAATCTAATTTTCAAAATGTATGTTGGCGCCATCCCGAAATACCTCCACGCATACGTGGGAGTGAGATAGTCGAATGAGCGAGGACGTGACTACTTCGCCTGACAGTAAACACTGTAAACAGCACAGGTCACAAAGTAACCTTTGTGATCCGTGGTAAACAGTTTGGTTTGTTTGGTTATGTGTGCTTGTACAAAGTTTATTTGCAAGTAAACTTTTATGTGTGTTTTCTTTGGGTTTGTATTTTTTCCATATCTGTTTTTGAAGAAATGTATGATCATGTTCTAGAGAGGGATCTTATTACGTAAATGTAAATGTCTGTGTTCAAGTGTTTTAGTACCAAGTTGCAAAGTAGACTCAAGCACCAATTTCCACTTACCCAATAAATGCTTTAAAACTTTTTGTATAGTGTTAATTTGCTGTTATTTATAGTGACGTCTACTATAAGAGCCCTTATACAAGTTTGAAGTATTTTTTTTTATTTGAATCTTCTTGTGTTTGGCAATAGGTTAAGTTTTACAAATATGCAGGGTGACCCAAATTCAAGCGGTATATCTTGAACAATTTGAGATAAACAACTGAACCTTTCTATACATTGTACTAATTATACTTATTGCTACTGTACGAACGTCAGTCACCATTTTTTATGTGTTAAAAGGGTGGATTTTGAGGGCATTTGGATTATTTTGGTGGTTTTTAAGCCACTGAGGGCAATTGCAATTTTAGTTTAATTTTAGCAAGCCCATTGTTTTCTACACAAAGATGCTCATAGTGAAAAGTGCTGATGTTAGCTTTTAGGATAAATGGCGTTTTATGATATTTTGGGTTGGGGAAAAGTTACATTTTGGGTTCGTTTAACATACTACATACATACTATTCGAAAAACAACTACCTTGGCTTGAAATGGCCTTTCATGTCGCCAATTTAAGCAGTGGATTAGAAGTTAGTTATTAATAAAATAATCCCTCGACCCCAAAATCTACGCTGCTGAACCACAAAAATCACAAAAAACTAGCTAAATGATTGGTAAATTGTATAAAAAGTGTATCAGTTTATCTAAAATTGTTCCTCAAACATTGAAAATACATCTATTCAACCCTAAATTGCGATAACAATAAAATTGAAAAAATCAACCTTTTCCCAAAAGTAACTTTACAAAAATATTTTTTATGCAATTTTCACATTTTATTTTTATTCTCGACAACTAAGCTTTCAATCGTAACAAGTGTAATAACGTAAACGTTGAGTGTAACAATCGCTAAAAGTTTTGGCTTTTTATGGGTGAAACAAGGAAATGTGTTCTTGTTGTGAATCAAAAAATCGCCATTGGCTCGTTTACTATTCATTGTAGAGAAAAAGTGAACTCCACCAGTTTTCCATCTTTTATTTTTGAAGATATTTGGGTTTTTTTTTTAAAAACGTTTTTGGCCTTTTTGGAAAAACTGTTTCAGTTTGTGGTTAGAAAAATGCTCGTTGGTGCTTTCCAACATACCGAGTATTTTATAAAAAATCGCTTGTTACGATTGAAAGCGTAGTTGTCGAGAATAGAAATAAAATGGGAAAATCGAATAAAAAAGGTTTTTGTTACGAGTTACTTTTGGGAAAACGTTTTTTTTTTCTCGCTCTTTTTAGTAAGTCTTAAGGCTCTCCTTCCCCGCAGATAAATTGTAGGCATTTTTTTTGTCTCAGTAGGACGTTTTACATGAACGACTTACTTTAGGAAAAAAGTTTTTATGGTCGAAACAAGAAAATGTCTTGGCTCCCTTATAATTCACTTTAGAGAAAAAGTGAAATATAAGTTTGTGGTTTGAAAATTTTCTTTGGTGCCTTCTAAATGCCAAATATTTAATAAAGGATCACTTTTTACGATTAAAAGCTTAGTTTTTGAGAAAAAGATGTGAAGTCGCGCAATATCTGAAGGTTTTCTTTCTATAGGGCGTTTAATACGCACGAGTTACTCTTGGAAAAAGGCTTATTTATTTAAATTTTCACGTCTTAATTGTCGAAACTAGAAAAATCTTTGTTTCTGAGAAAATAAATCTTCTAATTCCCAGCAGATATATTTTTGGAAATTTTTCTTCCCTATAGAGGAGGAGCGTGTACGTTTAATTCGTGCAGTTTTTTTTGGGAAAAAGTAAATTTTTTTTATTTCTCCGTCTTTTACTGCCGAAACTAGAGAAAGCTTAGCTTTTGAGAAAAGAAATCTTACGTTCTCCTTCCCACCAGATATATTTTTCGCATTTCTTTTTCTGAAGTACGTTTTATATGCTAAGTTGCTTTCGGAAAAAATGTTGTTTTTTAAAATCCTCAATTTTTGGACCGCGTTGCGTTTGAATTTTTCCATCGTTTTTAGTTTTAGATACTTAAGGTTTGGGAGGTCCGGAGGAGTAAACCCTCAAAGAATCTGCAATGATGATCAGCTCATGTTATTTCTTCTTATGTTTAGATTTTTCAAACTCACGAGATAAAAAATTGGAAGAACAGTACATGGAAATGGAAAGAACAGCTGTCAGCTGCAAAATAAGTGACTTTGTGTGGGCCAAAGTAATCGGTAATTCAAGATGATTAAGTTAAATCTGCCTGCATTAAAGGAAGTTCTTATTGACGTTTCGCAAGCACCTTCTTTGATCCAGATTTCGATCGAAACCCAACTGATGCGATCTGATGGACTGTGACGTGGATTATCTTTTCAGAACCGACAGAGCTCAAAAAAGCGGTTAAAAAACTGACTGAATATGCAAGCCACTCGTGCTTACGAAACGTCAGGAAGAAATTCTTCTGGGCCACGGCCTGACAGCCCGAAACCCTTACCAGTTTTTAAATCAAGGCTTTTAAATGCTTTATTCCATATGCAGGTTACAGCTACTGGCCAGGCTTAATTTTACAGCCGGACCGTCTTGCGCCACCCAAAAACAAAAGTGACATGGAATGGGTGTATTTTTTCGGTTCGCAGAACTATGCCTGGGTGCCGATCAAGTATATCAAGCCTTACAGCGAGTTTAAAGAGAAGTTCGGGAAGAAATGCCCTCAAGGGGTCTTGGATGCCAAATACGAACTGCGGAAGCACAAAAGTAAGAGAATAGTTACCCCGTTACAGTCCAAGTTTCAGTGATGTGAACTTTCAGAAAGATTAACAGCGAATCCGGATTATGTACTCACTATTGCAAAATTTATGCCGAAAGAAATGCGAGCGCGTAGCAAAAGCGTGTCGAAGTCTTCTAGGTAAAAACAGGCAGTTGGGCACCGACTTGTTGTAAACGAGCTTCTTTCAGATCTGTTGTGGATGAGCAGGAGCACTACTTAATCCCAGAGCCCCGAATTGGAGTGTTAGCTGGCAACATTAACGCAGAATCAATTATCAAGGTTTTCCACTTAACGAGGAAAACATATACTAAAAAGTCCCAATAATTGTCTCAATTTTCAGGCGCTGATTTCCTTTAAACATAAAATGACAATTTGGAGCGAAAGCGAGGCATTGTGTATAGATATGAAGCAAGAGGCCGCTGAGGCACACACTACTTGTTACGTTTATAAAGAGCCAAGAGATGTGGTGAGTGGTCAATGTCTCAATTTCAATCAGTTTTCCTTTAAAACATCCACTTATGTATTAGGTCAGAACCGCTGATATCATTTTCAGCTTACTGGCCAGCAAAGCTGAGGCCATCCGTATGCTCGAAAAGTTCGGCTACAAAAATGATAACGACTACCTTTTAAGTGGGAAAATTTATATTGAAATGACCACGATCGACCGCGAAACCTCCTCAGCAAATGCGAAAATTTTCAGTGCCAAAGGAGTGACTTATTTCGAATTCATGGTAAGACTGTTGGTGATTTTTTGTGCAAATTGGCACGAAGATAATTTGCAGATCGATGGCACCAAACAGGACATTGGGAAAGGCCTCGTATTAGTAGGCGGGAATTGCGACCAGTTTAAAGCCACAATTGAGAGGTTAAAATCGTGTTTAAAGGCTCTTGGCAAGGTGGATATTCTTAAGGGCGTTTTACAGTCGCTAATTTTATTGCTCGCAATATTTAATTCTTGTGCATTCTATCGGTTCTCGAGTTGCCGGCAACTTTTATTGCGCTCGCCGTTTCAAATCTAAAATTTCTCGTGGTTTGTCGCAATTTTACTGACTTTTCTGGCCATTTATGCTGCCAACAGTTCACTCATAGTACTACAAATCCCTTGTTTTACAGTCGCTTTTTGCTTATTTAGCCATGGTTTAACCTACCATTGCCTTTGTTTTGCACCGGATTTTTTAGACTGTAAGACAATTAATAGATCTGCTGGAGCAAAACTATTGTTGCTCAAGAAAGTTGCGGGTAATAAAATTGCCGACTGTAAAACGCCATTTACTCAACTTTTCTTATCACGTTTAAACGCTTATAAAATCTGACCTTTTCTAGTCCTGGTACTTTGTGGAAAACCCGCAAGTCTTCGTAATCTTCCAAATGATGAAAGCCATATTCCTGGCTGGTTTCACAGAAATCTTGGCGCTTGCAGACAAAAGCGTTGACTTGAATGTTTTCTTTGAACTCTTCAGGAACTCCCCCCTACACAATCACTATTTCGAGCGTAAGCGCTTTTATTGCCGTCCTGTTTTGTGATCCCTAATTTTATGTTCTTCGATCAGGTGTTTGCGATAAAGTTGAAAACAATACTTACTTCGACGTTCAAGAATCGCTTCCGTGCCTACAGCATGGTCTACAGCGGATGTTAGAATTATGCAATGTATGGAAACAACCAGCTGGCTTGACGTCCACAGCAAATCAGCTCTACAAGCACGCCAGACGCATGGGTTTGGACGAGGCGGATTCTTCAGCAATGTTTCTTCGAGCGAAATAGCAAGTAATCATTCCTGATTTATTATTAGTCTAGATTTAATCGAAGTAAAGTTTGATGGAATATAGAAAGATTTCATACAATTTATCAATAACATGTGGGAGTTTTTTTTACATTTATGCACGAAAATGAGATCATAATTGTGGCTTAATTTAAGGTGAAACAGTGTTCTTTCTTTAGGGTGAAACAAGAAAAAACTAAAAATTCGGAAGGACTCAAGCGACACGTTCACCTTTTAGCAAGCAGCTAAGGGTTTAGAAACAGTTGAATTCTTCAATCTGGTCTAAGTTCAGCGAAAGCGCGATTTGTAATAAAAAAAAACGGATATTTGGGATATAAGGCTGATTGGTCAGAATGCTTACTCCCGTTTTCAATATTTTACAAGTGAATTTGTCTTTCCTCTCCCTGGGCCCAAATGTTCTATATTTGGGCTAATATTTCTGGGTTTTTATGGGTGAAACAAGGAAATTTGTTGTTGAACCGAAAAATCGCCAGTGGATCGTTTACTATTCATTTTAGACACAAAGTGGCAGTTTTTCCATCTTTTATTTTTGAAGATTTGGGTTTTTTTGAAAACGTTTCAGTTTGTGGTTGGAAAAATGCTCGTTGGTGCTTTCTAACATACCGAGTATTTTATGAAAAATCACTTGTTACGATTGAAAGCGTAGTTGTCGAGACTAGAAATAAAATGTGAAAATCGCATAAAAAAGGTTTTTGTTACGAGTTACTTTTGGGAAAACGTTTATTTTTTTTATTTCTCGCTCTTTTTATTAAGGCATAAGGCTCTCCTTCCCGGCAGATAAATTCTAAACATTTTTTTTGTCTCAGTAGGACGTTTTATATGCACGACTTACTTTAGGAAAAAGGGTTTTTTCCTCAAAGTTTTTATAGTCGAAACAAGAAAATGGCTTGGCTTCCTTATAATTCACTTTAGAGAAAAAGTGAAATAAAAGTTTGTGGATTGAAATTTTTCTTTGGTGCCTTCTAACATCCCAAATATTTAATAAAGGATCACTTTTTACGATTAAAAGCTTAGTTTTCAAGAAAAAAAAAGTGAGTCGTGTAAAATCTGAAGGTTTTCTTTCTACAGGGCCTTTAATACGCACAAGTTACGTTTGGAAAAAGGTTTATTTATTTAAATTTTCCTGGGTTTATTGCTGAAACTAGTAAAATCTTAGCTTCTGAGAAAATAATTCTTCTAGTTCCCAGCAGATATATTTTTGGCAATTTTTCTTCTCTATAGAGGAGCGTTTACGTTTAATTAGTGCATAGTTTTTTCGGGAAAAGGCAATTTTTTTTATTTCTCCGTCTTTTATTGCCGACACTAGAGAAAGCTGAGCTTTTGAGAAAAGAAATCTTAACGTTCTCCTTCCCACCAGATATATTTTTCGCATTTCTTTTTCTGTAGAACGTTTATCAATAATTGTTACATTATAAATAGATCGCTGTCAATTTTTCTGATTTCCTGCGATTTCTCGAAAGTTCATTGTCTTTTTTTGTGATTTTTTAAAGTCTAGTTATATGGTTCAGCGCACACGTCGATTATGAGATTTTTCTTCTCCGATTTCGTCTTGGACATGCAGCGTCCAACAAAAATGAATGATTACAGTCGTTTAAGGCCAATTCAATTGTGACTATTCCTTCCTTAAGAAAAATAGCCAATAATGAAGATGAAGCTGAGGTGTTTTGAGGCTCGTGATAAGCCCAATTTCTTTTTGCGCAGTTTTACAGCCAATAGAAGAGATTTCCACCCGGGGAGACAGTCCCCAAAAAACAAAACAAGGTCCGACTTAATGTGCATGATACTGGTTAGTTATTGAAACTAAGTGATCCTTGTAAAATTATTTAAGTTGTTATAAACCAATTTCAGACCAAATCCAATAAACAGCTTTATAATTTGACTATCATACTTTACAGAAACAATTTAAAAGTTCTAAAAAAGTATCAACGCAAATAGGGAAACACTCTTATAATAATGCATCTAGAAGGGACTTGAAGTGACTTAAAATCTTGTACGATATATGCACGCAGAGTCGTGATTGTCGCAACCCAATTTGCGGGCATTTTTCAAGATTTCATTCACGTTCGACGCCAGAGGCATGGGCTGTCTGAATCTGGTGGACATTTCCAAAGCGAGAGTCATGTCCGTTTGAAGTTGCTCGATTGGTTCTTCAGTATCTTGGGCTGAGGTGAACTTTTTAGATACTATCGTGTTGGATTTATCTGAAAAGTGGCACTATTAAAACCCAGTTAGGGTCCAAACACTGGATAAACTTACGCTCCAGGTAATCGCTGGACATGTGGGTCATTTTGAAGATGTTATTGAACGCCTCTAGTTTGATGCTGCACCGATCGGCCATGACGAATCCTTCTACCAGAGATGCCAGGAATATGCCCCTCATCATCTGAAAAATCATGTGGATTTTGGTGGCTGATCCGATTTTCCCCAGCAAAAACGAAGCCTGCAACCGCAAAATTATCAGTTGGAAAATTAACTGGTAATTCCAAGTCCCACCTTGCTAATAGCTTTAAAACACGACTGACAATCGACGAACAGGGGCTGTAGTCCAGCTGCCAACACTATAACTTCTCCTTTGTTAGCCTCCTGCTTGTTCCCTTGTAACTGCAAAAAAAACTGCATTCAATCGACCATAGGGATAAATAAGCGGAATCTTAGTACCATAGCTTCTAGATATGTGCCGCCCTTCTTTGTGATCAGATCGTGAAAATCCTTCGATGTTTCAGGATCCATACTGGTCATCTCAACAAACCCTTTGCCCTTCAGAAGATCATCGCATTTATCGGTTATGCCCAATTGATTCAGAACGATCTTTTCTTGGTCGGGATCGGTCAAGCAGCTGAACGTTATATCTGCCGTTTTCACCTAGATTATTAGACATTTGAATTATGTTGTACATACAAACTACAGTTTGTTGAATAGATTTATTTATTTTGCTGTTTTCACGATGGTAATTGAGCCGTTTATTTTGAAAGTAGTCAGTACGTTTAATTAATATTGAAATTTAATATTAAATTTGAGGAATTATTTCACACATGGGGAAGAACAGAAGAAGACTATTTAGTTCAGATAGTGGTGAAGAAATAGGAACTAATGATTTTAAAACAATCGAAAAAGAAACAGATATTCATCATCACGGGATAAAGATACGAACAACAATGGGAAAATATTCAGGAATCATACATCCAAAGTTCTGTAAAAAATCTCTTTGTATACTTTTAAAGTGAAGGACGCTTAAAATGAGTATTAAACTCTGCAAATGTAGGCAATAATTTACGTGGGGTGATGATTGGATCACCAAGAAAATTTTCTGAGGACGGGAAAAAGCACGTTCACAATCATATTAAAACCTTTCCTCCATTTAAAGCATCGACTGACCCCTGACTTGGAAATTTTCAGACAAGTTTTCAAAGTTGGTAGACCACGAGGGAAATTAACCAGCGTTACCCATGCAAACACACTTTACCATAAAAATTCCCATTCTTAAAGCAAACGAGTTATGATTCTGGAATTCTGGAGGCCTATAGGAGACACTAAGCCCTAAATGTTTGGAAAACATCATGAATATTAATTAACTTGAACATTTTCAGGGAAATTAAAAAGTTTGATCGTCAAAAACATTTTTTTAACAATCTCAAAGCATGCTTTGCAAAAGTATCATTTTTTAATCGACTGCTTTAGTAGTTAGAAGTTGTTCACACTGATAGAAGACACTTGACTCTAAATATTAGGAGTTTTTTTTTATTAATCCGCTCGGTGCGTTTCAGCGATTTTTCGAAAATTAGTCCTTCTAAAAGCGCTAACGTACTAAAGCGTTGTCTAACTTTTATGCCAACTGAGTTAGGATTTAGAAATTTTCACCAAAATGCAATCACTAAGAGTCGACCCGCAAATTTTCAAAAAAAGTTGCCAAAAAGTGTTCGAAAACACGAAATTTATAAGAAAAATGTTAACGTTTCAGCCAACTGAGTTAGAACTTTGAAATTCTCCTAATCTATAGAAAATTCTGGGGCGCAAAATATTGTAAAATGTCCTCAATTTAACTGGAATTTTTTTTTCCAAGAGCGTAGTATACGAAAACGCTTTGCAAGAAAAACTTTTAAACGAATTAGCGATCTAAAGTTGGCCCAAACTGCTGAATATACTTCGAGGAAAATATGATCAAAAACCGTTAAGTTCAAAAGTTTCAGCGAATTTTGGAAAATTGGTTTTCTATAGAGCTTTGTTTAACTTGACTGAGTTAGGACTTTAAAGTTGACCTGAGCAATACGAGGTAACTTAAGGGCAAAACTTTGGAGAATCTCATCAATGTCCATTAATTTCTAGATATTCAACAAATTTGTTCTACTAAAGTATGTTGTATAGCAAAACAGTATGCAAGAAAAATCTCAAATTTGATAAAAAATTATTAACATTGAAAAATTCGATTAGGATTTAATGAAAAGCACTTACCACCTGTCTTGGAGTGGTGCAGGTTTTAAAAAATGTTTGGTGCCTATCAGCATACTCTTGTAGCTCTTCCAATAAGGCTGAGCTCCTGCTCCATACGTACAGCTTGTGTTTGGATTTGATCAGATTCTGCAACGACATTAAGAGGAAATCACTCTCTCCATTTTTTGGGTGCCACCCTTTAGGCTGTAGACATAATATCTAATACTATGCTTTTGCTTACCTTCAGGATACCTTCAGAGTATATACTGCCGGCCAAAAAACCGAAAAACTTGTTTGAAGTGCCCAAATTAACCGTGTTAACAGTGAGCAAACCCGGGGTTCCTACAGCATTGCCCGACGTTGCTTCTGATATTGAAGCGGCGATGTTTGTTTTAATTGCATCTTCGATTTCATTCGAAGTAGATGATCTGAAAATTGAAATAGTGGCAAAAGAGAATGGAATAAGCTTCGACTATCTTACCGATGCTTTTTCTTGACCACGGGTGTATTTTTCTCCTTAAGGGGAAACGACCTTTTCCTATCATTTGGGGTGCCGCTGCTGTTCAACCCAGAGGACTTCTTCTGCTTCTTCGGGCTTGGTTTGCGCGCGATATATTTAGCAAATGAAATCTTATAATCGGGATCTTTCGACATGTTATCTGGAAAATCGGACCGAAATCGCATTAAAATCCCGGTAAAACTATCATTGAAAAAAAAACTTACTAATAATGTCGTCCATTTCTTCCATTGCCGCTTCTGTGTTCTTCTTCTTGTATTGCAACTTAAATTCCTCGTATGGTTTAATGTTTTTGTCCTCGATCCAGGCGTAATTATGAGTGCCCAAAAAGTAAATCCACTGCATTTCTTTGATTGTTTTTATCGGGGCATCCGGATCAGGCCGCATCACTATCGCTGGCCAGTGATTGTAGCCTATAAATCAATGGATTTGATTTGAATTGAGTTGGAATCGTAAGTAAATATAAACACCTACCTGCCATTTTAGCCCATACAAAATCGTTCTCTTTAAACACTGCACTATCCATATCTGCGGAATTACTACTACTACCACTAAAAACTATTGAGTTTTTTTCAGATATTCCCGTTTGATGTTTTCTCGTTCGGAGACTGGCGGAAGTAAGGGGTATTTCCCTTCGCGGCGCCTGCAAGCACGAACTTCAAACTAAAAGAAGAATAGCATCTGAAATAGAACCATTTGATATTGAGTACGGATATGCATTTTTTTCTTTCAGTTTCTAGAACTGAGGTTTCTACTCTTTAATGTCTGGAATGGGCTTTATTAGAAAACAAGGTTTACAAGCCTAAGGAAAAATGAGGTCGGTTTCCCTGTATTCAACTCATTCGCCTTTAAAGTTTTTAGATCAGGTTGGCACTTTACCTACAGTAAAACACCAATCGAAACAGGAAGCTATTTGCTCTTCGGAGCTTGGAAGTGAAAAACATTGGACAACAAAATGAGCAAATGTTGAACTAAACTGCTAAACAAAATGAACGTTACACAGCTAAATTTGTCGTAACTTTGGAACTGGATAAGGATTGAATGAAGCCTTATCTAGTCACATTTGCTTTTTATTTGTCGATTTTTTGGTCAAAATTAAGCACCGCATACAATTTTTCCACAGGGCGGCAAAAACATTTTGCCAAGTTCGGCATGCCCCTAGTTGGATAAAAAAAGAGGTTTTTGTATCTCAACACCAAAAGTTTAAAAATAAAACATATAGCTCGAAACGTTTTCTGTATTTTTATGCCATCTGTTCTATTTACAGGGTGGTCAGTCAGAAGAATCGTTCAAAACCCTGATTTTTCCAAGCTTGTTCAAAGTGAGTCTCAAAATTACTGCATTTGACTGAATGCTGTAAAAAAATGCAAGGAGAACGTTCAAATTTTCAACGTTATTAGAAGACACTCGGACCTCCTGATGCAGAAAATTTCAAAAGAATCGTACAAAATCTGGATTGTTTCCACTTTTTTAAGCGTGAGTCCCTAATTTACTGTTTTCAGTTAACTACGCTATCTCTAAAAAAAACCGTCTCTTTGAAACCAAATCAAGAAGTAATTGGAAAGTTTCACCATCTTGAGAAGAATTTTCACAGTAAAGATGCTAAGTTTCGTAAAAATCGCCCAAAATCCTGATATTCGTCATTTTAGCCAAACTGGTTTTAGACAAACTTTTAACTAATCGGAGAGCGTTCTTGGCTTAACAAAATAATATCTCCCAAATTAATGCAAGAGCATTGAAATTTTCACCGTATTTAAATCGTGATTTTTCCAGCTTATTAAATGTGAGTCTCAACAACTGTGATTGTTAGCTCTTGTGAAAAATCGTATCTTTCAAACCAAATGAAGAAGCAATTCGAAATTTTCATCATCTTGAGAAAACATTTAACGCTAAAGATGCTGAGTTTCGAAAAAATCGCCTGATATTTTTGCCGATTTGACCAATCTGAGTCTCATAATTAGTGTTTGCCTGAGGTCAGATTCTCAGAAAATCACCTTTTTGGCCTTGCAACGATAACTTTTCTGCTCTTTAACCGATTTCATGATCTTGAGCTCATATGGAAGCTCAAACTTCATAGACAACTCTAGACGAAAATTTAACATACCTACAGGGTTGCATAAAATATTAACCAAATCATAATTGCCTCCGAAATCTGTGGCACCGGCAGATTTTCAACTATAATGTAGAAAGTTTACTTTCAAATGCTTCATTCATTCACACAGCCGCTATACTGAATTTTTATTTCAACTGACTGCGAAGTTTGAGACCCTAAATTTTGAAAATCGGTTTCAGAGAATAAAACGGTTTCGATATGTTTGGTTTATCTTTAAACTTTTGGCGTCGAGAGACAAACAACCTCATTTTTCCTCAACTAGGAGCAAGACGAACTTTTAAAAATTTTGCATTTCCATTTGCCGCCCTGTAGAAAATTTATTTTCTACAGGGCAAACAAAAGTTGGGGCAAATGAGTCCGTGTAGCGTTCGTTTTGTTCAACAGGTCATATCGACCTGCATTGAAAATTGCAGACAAAAAACCAGGGCTTTATAAGGTTAATGCTACAGCAAATGAGGTGCTTCTTAAACAGACGAAGATGCACCTGTAACCGACTATTCAAGTGACCCTCACTTACCTGAACCGCCCTCAAGTTCCAGATAATAGTTCAATATTGCCGAAAATGCTCGAAGACGCCCTAAGTGAAAGGTTTTTCGGTCTCAAAACAATAAGTAAACAATGTTGTACTTGTTGGCGTCCACAAGGCAGTTGTTTACTGATCATCCGGGTGGCACTTTAATTCATACAACTCACCCAAAATGTTTTGCACGCCTTATAATTCTCGATCGGCCAGAAGCACTTGTCCTTGTCGTAGTTATACTTGGTAAAACACTGGTACGTAAGTTCTTGCTCCTTTAAACACGGATTTGTTTCTTCCTGATTCCGCTTTTGCCCCTCGACTTTCATTACTCTGGAAAATAGACGCGCGCGTTGTCAGCAATACAACAATGACAACTGAAAGGTAAGGTTATATAAACTGTTAAAGTTCTCTGTTTTACCCACTACCAAAAAAGTTGACAATGCTGAAATTTATTTACAAAGTTATTGCAATAGAAAGCTATAAATGAGTTGATAGTGGTCTACATTGGAGCAGACAATTTTGAATATATATTAATCAAAGAATTAACAATGTCCACATTTTGGGCAAAATGAAACTGGGCGATAACGATTTATAATATTTCTTTTTGACCAGCCAGCCACGCCCAATTAATTAGTGCCTTTGTCTTATTGCGTCACGAGCGCCATCTAATGCCAAAGTTTACATTTTTTTAAGTGCCAAACGTGACGTTTATTTAGTCGTTTTTTTATCTTCTATTTTTCCGGGTGGTTTTCAGCAGTTTTTTCTGAATTTTCGGTAAGTTTGCACTGTGATTATCTATAAGGGTGTATTCATTTTGTTATTGTATAATTAAAATAAAGCGATTTCACGAACACATATTTTTGGGCGATTTTGAAGAATCAACTCGGAAATTTGAAAAATTTGAAAAAATATAAGAAAGGTCCTCTTCCAAATTACTCCCTTGGTTAGAACATGCTTTAAATATGTGAATTAAACTTAAAATGTTATTATAATGAAACATCCTAGATAACCACATTTTCAAAAACTTTCTGCTGTAGAGCCGTTTTTGCTTATATTCCACCGTTTACTTAAACCGAAGATTTCACCAGAAATAAACTGAAAACGTAGTTTACCAAAACTCAGTTTACGATAAAATAAAATTAGACATTAAAATCTGCAACTTTTTCTATATCAGGTTTTTCTACAAATTGCAAATTAGATGTGAAAACGGGCCAAAGTTCAATCAATATTTTTATATTAACTCAAAAACTTAATCAACTTATATTGAATAGGTCTAGAATTTTGCGTATAGTTCGAATATTCTATAAAAAGTAGGAATGGAATTCCATTTAAAAAAATGTAAGTTTGGTCTACCACTTGAATTTGAGACAGCATGTATACATATGTATATAAAGAGCAGTTTTTCAGTATTGTGGAATAATAATACGACGTATTATTTACGATCGGTTTAAACAAATGCAATGTATGTGTGTGTTAGGTAGCAACAAAATGCAAAAGTTTGATTAAAAATTTATTGAAATTTGGCGATTAATGCGGCGAAGAATCTGTACTTTGTCCGGAAACTGCAAATAGTGCAAAATCTGAAAGTCTAGTCAGATAAGTTCAGTTTCAGAAAGTACATTTTACTTACTCTATCGTGTACATCATACACGGTTGAAACTTCTCTACTCAGAAGCACCCCAATATTTTCTATAAAGCTCTTCAGACCAGCGAGTTTCTCTTTTCGTCAAGGTTTTCAACTTTAGCGGCAGTTTCAACTTCCAGATGACAAATGAGTGCAATTTACAACTGTATTTCATAGCAATGTTGTGCTTTATCACTGACCCGAAGTTTTCGAAATTATTTAAAAACTTTACAGTCAAATGACACAATAAGTGCAACTTGTATTGCATTTTCCAGCACGATAAAATTTCCAGAAAATAACCCAGATAAACCATCTATCTCCATTGGCTTTACTTGATTTTACAACCGTTTCCAAATTTATCTCGAACATGGCTGTCCATTCTGTCCCCCTTCGGAGTGAAGAACGCTGACAATTTCGCCAAACAATTTAATTTTATTCGACGAGGTTATTCGACTCCGCAAAAAGTATCCGCTCTTTTTCAAAAAAAAAAGTTTATTCTTGTTTGCACTTTTTGCAGGTAGTTTTTAAATGTAAAAATATTTATAATATAAATATATCTGACTTGTAGTTTGTAAAGAACGTGAAATTTTCACAATTTGCAAACTATTCCATACCAAAGTTCGAAAGGTAAATTGAAACTTTCCGTTAACTCAACCAAAATGTTATTTTAATTAGTTCAACAGCCTTAAACCGAAGTTTAAGGCCTTCGAAAAATTCCTCAAAGACCCATTTATATTGACCCTCTCCACGGAAATCTTTAGTAAAAGGCGAAAGATTTATTCGCTTTGAAGAGAGTCCAGGGTAACGATTTCTTACAAAATGGGCTCAGTTATAGATCTGAGAAAGGATACGAATGATAGTTAAACCCATGCGCTCCATCTCGGCGGGAGATAGGAATTACAATGTTCGGAACGTTGAATCAAGCCATTTCCAATATGGTTGGTAGTTTCGGAGCCTTATTTTTCTAGGTAATAAAAAGTGAATGCCAAAAGCCGAAGTGTCAAATACATTTAAAAAAAACCGTAATTTACTTACTAGTGTTTTAACAAGAATTAATAGGAAAGCGAGCCTTCTGCGAGTACGTCTTATCTGTATGGCCATAAAACTTCGGGACGCGTTTACTTCTTTAATAATCAAATTGCTTTAATGAAAGGATCAGTTTGCGCAAAAGGTCATGAAAATTAAACATGTAAAAAGTTTTCAATAATGAAAAAGTAACAGGAAGCAAGATGTGTGGAAAGTTAATAAATTCGCAAATATAAAACCAACAAAACCTTATGTTTTGTTGGTTTTGGGAAAAACAAGTCCCTTGAAATGGACAATTTTCCTGATGAGTAAGAAAAGGAAACGCATAGTGGTTGCGATTGAAAAAAAGGGCACAAATGAAGTTCGAAAAGTACAAACCAATCAATACTGTTCATCCCCGTGAAAAGATGTTAGAAATGTGTGTTGGAAGAAAATAGTTTATTGATTAAACATCTGTGAAACTCTGGTGAAAGTGCTTTAAGTCGGTAGGTACATTATTTTACACTTACTCCTTACAAACTCTAGTCTCTTTGCCTGGAAAGCTGCATTCGAACCTGGATTGTCATAGACATACTTTTCCTAGACCTTCAACGTGCAGTCAAGTCTATTAAATGTGGGAAAATCAGCAATAGCGGATGGCACTGCAGAAATGGAAAAATCGCCCACAACTTATGAAACTTCATCAGTTCATATTAATTAAACCGCTTGCCTGAATCAAGGTATATTAACAGGGAGTCTATCAGTTAAGCGAAGCTTCTTTAACTTCAGCATCTGATATCGGTGTTGGATGTGGAGAAATATGAGCAAAAGAGTGCAATAGTGGCAAATCTCTATCAAATAAGAGACATTAAACCATTCTTCCGAATATGAAACTCGAATTCACACCGTGTTTCCACACTTGCTATCGTAAAAGAACTAGGAAAGGCATTAAAACAATCTCATAGAAATTTGCTTGTTATATTTATGGCAATGTTACCACCTATCCATGGTATACCGGCATAGACGAAGAAAATAAATATCGTTCCGTAATAAATAACGTTGAGTTTGCACAAGGCTGATTACATTTAAAACCTGTATCAAATACTACACGAAACAGCCCTGTACAATATTCCTGAAATCGAGCAGTGGTTCTACAATCACATCATGTTGAGTTCAGTAGCGTAACTCGCAACGAAAAATGCCTACAAGTAATGCGCCCAATTGAGAGCCTAACTATAAAATAACGATGAATCTCTTAAAAAGTCCCCTAATTTTGTACTATTAACATGCCCGTACTTATCTATATTATTTATAAATAATGAAAGTCCACTAACAGGTACTTATCAGTTACAGATCAAGGTCCAATAGGGCTTCTAATATCGATAACACAAGTGGCGAAGAGTTGCTTGCGCCGAGGGTTGTGTCATGATTTGATGTGAATTTGCTATCAACAATCATTCATAAATAAATAAATTAAGTTCAACATGGGCCAAACCAGCTTGTCACAACGGTTTTTTGAGTTAGCATTTGCTGTTTCATAAATGGGCCGATAAATGGCGCCCATTGTACAATCCGTCGTGTATAAGTTGGCTTGCCCCTCTAGTGGCATGAGTGTAAACTAAAAATATACAGGGACGTTTCAAACCGACGAAATACAACAACATCCTAACCTAAAATCACAATAAAACCCGCGATATAAAAAAATATCTTCACGAAATCAAATTTAACCAAATCTGGTCAAACAAACTAAAACTATACAACTAAATGTTCTAGAAGTCTGTTTTTGGTATCACTTGGAGGGTGGGGGCAGTTTATCGGTAATGAGAAACGAAAACGGTGATCACAGCATTAGATCAAAAGCAGTTACGCCACTACTGGTAATACTGATTTAGTTGTGGGAACATTCCAAAGTTTGCATGGAACATCCGTGGCACCTCTCGTCCGACTTACACATCATCCCCTCCCCACAAATACCGAGGATGTCCAGTGATCCCCCGCATCTTTCGCCTGGTCCTTTGGCGCAGATTCTTCGACCGCAATTGTTTCTTGCCTCACCCCAAATGCACACGCTAGGGGGATCCTGGTCGCATTCCTGTTGCGTCACACACGAGGTACATATCCAACGTTCTGTTATTGACCTGGAACAATTTTTTCTAAGTTTATTTCATGCGATTTTACATGGCTTTAAACAGAATATTTTCATATTTTTCTGGCAATTTTCTGATATAAAAATATGTATAGATTTTTTAAGAAGCGATTTAGAGCTTTTTAAACAAATTTTGGCACACTTTGGCCGCGCCCTTCGTCCAGGACACGGTAATAAACTAAAACTTTGATATTAATGCGCTCGAAGCAAGCAGAGCTTTATAATTGGAAAATTTGCAGTGTTGTTTTCAAAAGATTATTGAACAAATTTGGCATAAAAAAATCGTGTAGATTTGCTTAAAAAATCCGAAATTTTGACGCATTTTGATTGAAAAGTTGTGCTAAACGTTTTGACGTGACACCGAAATTAATTATAAGACATCTCAAAAACAGATATGGTAGCGCTCTAACCAGTGTCGTGCCCGAAGGGTTCGGCACAACTTCATGATAAGGAAATTGGTCGTTTCGCTCAGGAAATTTGAAATTTGGACTCACACAGAAATGCATTAAAAATGAATCCATATTCAGATATGGATCTTTTCTAACCAGTGTCGTTCGCAGAGGGTCTCGGCACAACTTCAGCAACGAAAATCGTGCAGTTTTGCTTAAAAAATTCGAAATTTCGACGGATTTTGAATGAACAGATGTGCTAAACACTTTGGCATGACATAAAAATTAATTATAAGTGGATTCGAGAAAGCAAATATGGCAGCGCTCTAACCAGTGTCGTGCCCGAAGGGTTCGGCACATCTTCATGATAAGGAAATTAGTCGTTTCCCTCAGAAAATTTGAAATTTGGACTCTGTAAGAAAGGAAAGCGGTGCTGAACTTTTTGGCACCGCATAGAAATTAACTAGAAGTGAATCCATAATCAGATATGGTTATTTTCTGACCAGTGTCGTGCCCAGAGGGTTTCGGCACAACTTCAGCATCAAAATTCGTGCAGTTTTGCTTAAAAAATTCGAAATTTTGACGAATAAACATTTTGTTGGCGTGGCACAGAAATGAAGTGGATTCGAAAGCAGATGTGTAGCGCTCTAATCAGTGTCGTGGCCGAAGGGTTCGGCACAACTTCATGATAAGAAAATTGGTAGTTTTCCTCAAAAAATTTGAAATTTGGACTAGGAAAGTGCGGAACTTTCGTTTCCTTATCCGCGTGGCGCAGAAATGAATAAGAATTAATGATGAACTGTGACGTTACTGATCGCGATTGAACAGAAACTGTAGCGGAAAATTAGCTCCATGAAAAGGCGCAAAGAGCTAAGAAATCTCGATTCTGAAAAACTAATTTCTCAAAAATGGTCTGCATAATGAATCATCTTGAAACGGCAATCAACTTTCTAAGAAAATGACTGAAAATGTTTCATGGACATTTGAATCTTAATTGGATTAAGGACAACGGAAGGCTTTATCACCGGGTGCCATCAATATAGAATATTTTTCCTGCTGATTAAATTTCGTCAGTAACTTTTATTAGGGGAGGAATTTTTAATCATCATGATTGCTAGACTGAAACTGTAACTGTAGAAACTGTAGAAACTGTAGAAACTGTAAATTAATGATGACGCGAACATCAGAAAATTTGTTGTTTCTCTTTGAAAATATCAAACCACTTTTCCATAGAACAATGTGTCGAATTTTTGGGCATGGCATGGAAATTCATTAAAAATTAATTCCAAAGTCGATATTATTGCTAGAATACAACAATGTCAGTGTCGCACAACTTCTACATCAGAGAATTTCCCGTTTCGCTTTAAAAATATGAAATTTGGACTAGTTTTGAGTGGAAAGTTGTCTGAGCCTTTGGCACTGCATACAAATTAATGGTAAAACAGATATTTTTTTGCGCCTTTTTCTAACTTTTGTTGCAACTGAAGAGCTTAGGACAAGTAGACCCTTTTTTGCGAATCGACTTTGAACATATGAAATTTGGGCACATTTTCAATGGAAAGTTCTTCTGAACCTTTTGTCGATGCTTATAAATTGGTCAAAAATGATTGCGTATTCCAACTGGCGATTTTTCTTTAAAAATTTAACAGTTTTAGACACTTTTTGAATGAAAATTCTTGGAGTTTTGCTTTGCCTGGAGCTTCGGGACCAATTTCATTATAAACAAGCCGACTTTAAAAGCAAAATCCTAAGTGTACTTACATGGCATCTATGCTGGAGGCCAAAGTGAGGGCAATACACAAGACTAAGATGATTCCAGTGCTAGGATTCATAGTTGAGCGGCCCTTGTACGAATTTATGATAAGGTTCGTGAAACGTGTCCTGCAAACAAATCACCATCACTTACTAGACTTACTAACCGTAAAAACCGGGGAGATATTGGTTTTATAGGTTTAAAGCCGTTTAGGTAGTTAACATTTCTTAATCTTCTTAAACAGTTCTCGGAAACACATGCACATTACCCAGTGATTAGTAGGAAACAATTACAATTCAAATCACATAAATAGGCAATTATACCATGCATGTCTGGGAATTATGGGTTGGTTGGACGCCGAGACTAATGCTTTATTAATCACCCATTATTGCATTAGAACGGCTTTTAAGTGGCATAGAATTGGGAGTAAGTGTTCATTGTATGAGGTTTGAAAATTGATTTGTTTGCATAATTTCGGTTCCGACGAGGAGAAGCCATTTACCTTATGGTGCAACCAGCGTCTTTTTAAGTACCACACGGTAACTCTAGAGAGAGAGCGCCCTATCACCGTTTTCGCACTGGTACCTGTTGCACACATCTATAGAGAGTATGGAGGCGAAGGAAAAAACAGTAACTTGACCAGGCGCAACTTGATGGTACGCACGACAAAGCCAGTACCCGAACCACTAAAGGCGGCAAACACGCGCCGCCATGTCTTATTTGCGATTTGATTTACCACCACCACTGGTCCAAGTCGGCCAATTCGCCGTCTGATTAGTCGATTTTCGGAGAATTCTTCTTGTTTTTTGGGTACCGTGCCAGCCCAGCATTATTCATGGGTTTACAATTGCGCTGAACTCATCAGGGATGGCAAAGCATTGGAAGACTGTTAACATTAAATCGATAGACTTTACCTTAAAAATTACTGTTTAAAAGCTTGTGAAAGATCGGAAATCGATTAAAAGTCACTTCGTTAATAGAGGCTGTTGCTGCCAAGCCAGTGTGGACCTGGATGTTTTGGTACAATTTTTGGAATCGATGAATGTGAGCTCTTTACGCTGACCATCGCACAGTTATAGATGTTTTTTTTTGGAAATTGCGCTCAAGAATTGCATAAAAATTGGTGTTGTGCCTCAACCAGGGACTATTTACTGATTTTTATGCCATGGCAGCGCTTTCAGTAGAAAATCCATGCTCCAGATCCAGGTGTTGGCACAACATCGCAACTTCATTCACTTTCAGTCCTAAACTTTCAAAACACAGCCGTTAAAATAGCGCGGTAGTATTTGTTATTTTGCAACATCCTTGATGACATTGAAGAAGAAAAGTGACTTCCATCCATTGCGGGTTTAGAAGATCGATTAGAAGATAGCGCAAGTCACCCACATGGTAAATGAATTGGTGGAAGATCGTAGACGAAATCAACAATTGTTACTCAATGTGTGCGGCCTCTAAGCGACACAAACAAGACGGCACGCTTGTTTTCCGTGCCTTTCCGTAAATAGAGTAACCAATTATTTACTTATAAGACTACTTACAAAATAGCATTGGAAATCGAAAGATGAAAACAAGACATTAACGCTGGCCTGTTGGGGTCATGCGAGGGACCTTTCCTGAATGTGAAGACTTTGATAACGCTAGACAAGGCTGTGTAAGTGAGCAATGGATTCCGGCAATTTGTACCAAAAAAAATCGTTTTTAACAAATAGCGGAATTCACAGCCTTGAGTTGGATAAATGGGTTAGAAATAGACACGCATCTTTTATCAGTCGGCATACTCGGCGGCCAATCGGTTGCGCAATGCGGCGTGTTTTTGCCAGAAAAAACATCGACAAAACATGTTTTTTAATGCGAAAGTCTCATATTTATAGCGGCGGCATGAATTGCAAGGGGGCCGCAGCCTCTTGAGCGCAGGGGTCAAAGGCTCTCAAAGCGAATGAATGACCCAATTGAACTGTGCAATAAATGCATTGTCCACCTGCTTAATCGGTTTGTTTTCCAGCCGACGTAACAAACAACAAACTCTCTTTTAGCTTCAACTTTGAAGGCCTGCAGATTGACTCACTAGGTTAGATATAGAGCAAAAACAGTCTCCTCTAAGTCCTCTATCTGTTGTTGAATAAACCAATTAGCATGGTATCGCCATTGCTCGATTAGCCGATTTATGTAATTGTTAAAAACAATCAAAACAAGAAAGTGCTGCTATCGCATTAATGAGCAAAACCCGGAAAAGTAGTACCGATGCGTAGTGACCTGTTGCCTTTGTTTATTTATACACTGCGTCACTTTGAACGGCTCTGAAAATTCTGAACATCCTTGGATTTATGCGAAACTTGCTCAGATTATACCAGGGAATATTGCGAACACCTTATAAGAGATCAATCGGGATCCTCTGATCGCTTATCGGGCAAAAAAATATTTTTTCAAGAGCCTACAGTGATCAGATATTTACATATAAATAAACTCTCAAGTGTGGAAGCTTCTCAAATTTCTTTCAGAGAAAAAAAAGTCAAATTTGGCCTCATTGCCATCGAATATTTTGTAGGATTTTCAGAGAAAAATTATCTTGGGTGATTCTGGAACCACAATTTATTTTCAACTTCGGAAACCTCTGAAGGGTCAGTGCCAGCCACTGGTTGGTAACCCAATACCAGAAACACCCTGTATAAAAACACCCTTCTGGAGTTATCTTGAATGACTTCGGAGCCATAGATTGTTTTCTGCAAGCAGTGCAGTGGTCAGAAATGACGATTTCTCAAGTTGCAAGTTTGGAACCTTCTGCTAGTTGAGTTCCTGCCGGTAATCAGGTGAAATCTGCTGGACGTGGAAGCCCGATATATTGGCAACACCCTGTATGAACATGATGAAGATATTTTGCGAGATTTTGGAGCGACAATCTATTTTCTGCAAGCAGTGCAGTGGTCAGAAATGACGATTTCTCAAGTTGCAAGTTTGGAAGCTTCTGCTAGTTGAGTTACGGCTGGTAATCAGGTGAAATTTGCTGGACGTGGAAGCCCGATATATTGGCAACACCCTGTATGAACATGGTGAAGATATTTTGTGAGATCTCGGAGCCCCAATTTATTTTCTGCAAGCAGGGCAGTGGTTAGAAATGACGATTTCTCAAGTTGCAAGTTTGGAAGCTTCTGCTAGTTGAGTTCCTGCTGGTAATCAGGTGAAATTTGCTGAATGTGGAAGCCCAATATATTTGCAACACCCTGTATGAACATGATGAAGATATATTGCGACATCTAGGAGCCACAATTTATTTTCTGCAAGCAGTGCAGTGGTCAGAATTGACGATTTCTCAAGTCGCAAGTTTGGAGGCTTCTGCTAGTTGAGTTCCTGCTGGTAATCAGGTGAAATTTGCTGGACGTGGAAGCCCGATATATTGGCAACATCCTGTATGAACATGATGAAGATATTTTGCGAGATCTCGGAGCGACAATCTATTTTCTGGAAGCAGTGCAGTGATCAGAAATGACGATTTCTCAAGTTGCAAGTTTGGAAGCTTCTGCTAGTTGAGTTCCGGCTGGTAATCAGGTGAAATTTGCTGGACGTGGAAGCCCGATATGTTGGCAGCACCCTGTATGAACATGGTGAAGATATTTTGCGAGATCTCGGAGCTCCAATTTATTTTCTGCAAGCAGTGCAGTGGTCAGAAATGGCGATTCTCAAGTTGCAAGTTTGGAAGCTTTTACCAGTTGAGTTCCTGATGGTAATCAGGTAATAGCTGGACGTGGAAGCCCGATATATTGGCAACACCATGATGAACATGATGAAGATATTTTGCGGGATCTCGGAGCCACAATTTATTTTCTGCAAGCAGTGCAGTGCTCGTAAATGGCTATTTCTCAGGTCGCAAGTTCGAAAGCTTTTGAAAGATCAGTGAAATTTGGTTAGGTTTTAGGCCGATATATTGGAAACGCTCTGTATAAAGTTGAGAAATATGAATGGTTTTGGAGCCACAATTTTGAAAAAGAACTGCATTCGTTACTAATGTCGATTTCTGAAGTTTGGACTGCAAGTTGGAAGTCTGAAGTGGAGACTTGCAAAAAATCAACATAAATTGGAACATAATTAGATCCATAGAAAACGTCCTGTACAAATTGTATGGAACCATCCTGGAAAGTTTCTAAGACTTAATTTATTTGAGGAAACTCTCACTAGTAAGAAGCCGAAATTTCTGTTCGGAGTCTCAAGTTCGGAGCCTTCTGAAAAATCAGTCCCTGCGTATGATGGTGTGAAATTTGGCAACAGTCTAGCCCAATAAATTGGAAACACTCTGTATAAAATTGGAGGAAAAAAAATGAAAGCTTTCGCAGCCGCAATTTACTTTCAGAAACTTCAGCAGTGGTCAGAGATGAACCCAAGCTGGGAAAGTTCTAAAAATTCAGCGCAGTTTGGGATTATAGCGAAATTCCGTCTCGTGATGGTCAAATCTACTGTAAATACTGTGTAGGAGTTTTATGGAAGTAGGAACGATTTATTTTTAGTTTTCGGTGGCGACTTTCCAAGTCTCAAGTTTGGGCGCTTCAACAGATCAGTGCCTGTTTGGATTCAAGTGAAATTTGGTTACATGATAGAGCGATGTATCGGAAACACCCTGTATGAAGCTGATGAAATAGTCCCAAGTTTGAAAGCTTCTGAGGATTAAGTGCGATGGTGCTCTTGCGAGTAAAAATTATTTTTTCTACAGTGGCCAGAATGTGTAATTCACCTAAACTTGAACGAGAACAACTTTACGATTTTGAAAGCGAACTGAAGGTTCTCAAAGTAAAAAACCAGATCGCATTTAATGAACCCATCAATGCATGGAGTTAATTTGGAGCTAATGAAGATAACGAACTGGAAGCATTTCAAGCAACTTCTACAGCTTCTTCTAAATAATCTGTTATGTTTTTAGACGCAAACGTTAAACTCAATGAAGAAGATTTTCAACCGGAAAAATATCCGGAAACCCTTAATGTTCTTAGTTGTATTTGATAATCTGCCTGTGGATTTAAACAGACACTTTCTACTCTAGAGTGCATCAAATCTTGTTTGTACGCTGCAGCATATTTTCGCATTTTTATCTCGATTTTCCGAGGAAAACATGTTTGCCCACACGAAAATTAAAAATATTCGCGTGCTGAGTGGAAACAAACTCGTCCAAGTTCATTGCATTTTTGATAACATCCAGGCTCCAAGGTTAATCAACAACGTTTCATTTAAAACGACATCCTCTGGATGGATCAGTGAGTCCAAGTGAGCACGATACAGAACTGCCGACGAAGAACAGTTGAGGATGTTTTCATGGAAGGTCCGGAAGAAGACTGATGTATTTCAACCCGAGAAATGAATCAGAGCGAGGCGAATTGATCTGAGAGTGATTGTTTCTCTAAAACAAAGGTAGGCGAGCGTGGCAAACAAGCCGATTAAAATCGGCCCACTTCGCACATGGAAATCCAGAAACAAAAAGGAAAACAACACGTCGTTTTCAGTGGGGGGCTCGGCTTGAAAATTCATCATCACATGAATGAAAATCGCCAGTCGTCCGACTGTGCCAATTCGTTGCGATCCAGACTGTCGACAAGTTTATCTGGATTTTTCGTTTAGTGACCCATCCAGAGTGCGTTTGGAAGACGGTTGCGGTGGCCATGGGCATGATCACTCGAGTTCGCGGCCGTTTAAGGAGCCTCCACACCCTGCCGAAGTTGGATGAAAAAGTGCGCGATGAGAAAATTGCCGAAACAGGTAACAAATCCAGCCCATCCAGCCTCAATGGCTAATAGTCTGGCCCACTGACCACAAATCTAAACGCTTCTAAGCAGTTCACAGTCTATATTTAGCTAATGGTCAGCCTCATATGGTTCAATTGCTCAATTTCGCTTCAGGGCCCCCATTTAACTGTCAGCGGCCAATGGAGACAACATGAAGATTAATCGTTCAAAAGCCTACAGATTTACCACATTAAAGTACTGTTTAAATTGCTCGGTATCTTTCAGATATACAGGGTGGCTCAGGCGTATAAGTACGTCTAAAACCCCCAGCACTCTGTATATTGGAAACAAATGCGCTCTTTTTTTGGTGTTTTTGCGAAATTTGTTAGGATTTTCCATATTTCTATCGAGAAACGTCGACTGACGGTTAATCAAAGTGGCATATGACATGCCGGATGACAGTGCTGGATGGCGTCATCCTATGTACGAATGAGGGCACTAAATTCGTTCCCAAACAAAAGCCTTATTTCCTCAGTCAAACAGTCCCGTTATTGAACAATTGGAGAACTGGTACTAAAATTGAAAAAAATCCCAGGAAATTCCCGTTCCAAAATCCGTTTCGATTCATTGACACTAAAGTCTAATTTGACAGCTGCTAACTGTTAACCTAAATATGCATGTCAACAGATAAAGGTTGAAAACACAAAAGGAAAGTGATAATGGCTTCCATCCAAATTTCGAGTTTAATTGGCTAGTTGGTTGGCGAAACTTCGATATCAAAAGCATGATTTAGTAGGGCATGACCTCAAGACAAATGACAACTTGTCACTGGTTAGCTTCATGTCAATGTCAGTAGAAGCCACTTTCTAATCGCCAAAAGTCTTTCTGTTGATAACGAATCGAATTGTAAACACTTTTGTAGTATGAAAATAACTGAAAAACGATAATACTGCCCACACAAGGAGAACGACTTAGCAAATATTGACCAGTTTCATTCTGTCAATATGAAGCAAATTGTTATTTGGATTAAGACAGTTGTTTGCTCTGGGCGATTATTCCCTAAAAGGTCACCCAAAGCGACTGAAAGATTGTAACCCGATTATCTGTCTTCCAGTTTGTCTACTGTCCGTGCTGTTTTTGCTACCCTACTGCTCCAGAGGCCACGCCCCTCTGCTGGTAAGCTTGGGCAGCTGGTTCCTGACCACCTACTCGTTTTTGGTACTGCCGATCTTGATTTCGGCCAATTACAAGTACCCGGTCAGATGGCTGAGGCACATTATTCGAAAATTGCCCGGTAAGTGATTGGTCCGATTTTCGTTTTACGGAAAACTCTTATTATTGTAAACTAAAACTTACTCAGTGTCTTCGAGTGGACGTTGGAAGAGCTGCTTGGGGCACTGTGTGGACAACTTGACAATGTCCGGGCTTTTTATACCAAAAAAACCCACCCTCAATGATAGTTGCCTCATTTCCATATTAATTAGATGCGGTTGAAAAATATCAAGTCGCCTATATCCTTGCCTTCATTTTCTTATGATTATTAATTTAGGTCGCCGCTTTAGGGTCCAGGCTGGAAACTAGTCGTAATTAAAACGTTCGCTTTTCCCGATCAGATTGAGTTTTAAACGGTTTGATGTTTCCATCAACTTCAACTGTCTAATGTTTCCAATCTCTCACTGTCAAAATGACAGGTAGGTGCATCACAGTAAAATAGGCCTCAGATTCTCAATAAGGCTCAAATAAGTGATTTTAAGCTGTACAAGCCAAAGACAAAACGTTTAAATTTTTGCTACTGCCAAAATTTGACATGTGTCATATTAGTTTGAAGAACAATGAACAGATGACGAGTTGATGGTATGGGCTGAAAAGAATCCGAGTAATTCCGGTAAGAGGCAATTTTTTATTATCGACGACGCCCATCACTATTTACGGATGTAAAAAACACAAAACTGTCAGATTCACTCTCAGACGTCAGAAAGTTTCACTGTCAGATTTCGAAAATTAACGGGTACAATTTGACATATGTCATATTATATTGAAGAAAATCGTACTGATTCTATTGGAGAGCTTGCAGTGGCATGAGGCTCTTTACGGACATGTGTGGAGCGATTTGAATGAAATGCTGATGACTTACTTTTAGAGTGAAACGTCTTTAATTTGCTACAACATTTTCACGTCGCAACTTGAGCTAGATTAGCAGCAACGAATTTTTATTCGAAAACCTGCAGTTGCGTGAAAACGTTTATTTTTGGACCAATATTTTCAAAAAATGAAAAAAACAGTGCAAGCCGCGCCTTGACTAAAAATTTGAGGGCTTTTAGAGTGAAACGTCTTTTATAGGCTAGAAAAATTTCAAATCGCAACTTGGGCTCGATTAAAAACTTCGAATTTTTATTAAAGAGCTTATAGTGACGTGAAAAAGTTTATTTTCTGATCAACATTTACAAAGATCGCAAGAAATAGTGTACGGCGCGATTTGAATGAAATGGCGCGGGATTTTAGAGTGGAACGTCTTTCACTTGCTACAAAATTTTCAAGTCTTAACTTGGGCTAGATTAGAAGCTACGAATTTTTGTTCAGAAACCTGCAGTTGCGTGAAAACGTTAATTTTTGGATCAATATTTCCAAAAAAATGTAAAAAACAGTACAAGGCGCGATTTGAATGGAAAATTGAGGGCTTTTAGAGTGAAATGTCTTTCATATACTAGAAAAATTTCAAATCGCAACTTGAGCTCGATTAGAAGTTACAAATTTTTATTGAAGAGCTTGCAGTGACGTGAAAAAGTTTATTTTCTGATCAACAGTTGCAAGGACCGCAAAAAATAGTGACGGCGGGATTTAAATGAAATGTCGAGAGGTTTTAGAGTGAAACGTCTTTCATTTGCTAGAAAATTTTGAAGTCGCAACTTGGGCTAGATTAGAAGCTACGAATTTTTATTCGTAAATCTGCAGTTGCGTGAAAACGTTAATTTTTGGACCAATATTTCCAAAATAATGCAAAAAACAGTACAAAGCGCGATTTGACTGGAAAATTGAGGGCTTTTAGAGTGAAATGTCTCTTATACAGGGTTGCTCATTAGTGCGTCAAAGTGCGATATCTCAGTAAATATGAACTTTACAAGAAAATACGTCCTAAGAAAGTTTTTCATGTTTA